GAGTGTAGACGTTACTTTACGTTATAGTAGTAGTAGTACCGTACTAAAACAACTTTATTAGTACTACTATACTAGTAATAATAGTAGGGTCGGCGACACGGTCGTCTCTCTCTCTCTCTCTCTCTCTCTCTCTCTAGAAAGTGAAGATTAAGGGTGGGAACAGGTCGAGACGTCGCAGGGCCCAAACCCAACCCCGTCCAAGCATATAAAAAAAAAGGTTGCAGTTTGCACACGGATGCATCCGTAGGTGTAGAGGTAAAGTGTACTTTCAAATTTTATTGTGGTATATAATTTTGATGTAAAATATTCTTAGGATTATCTCAAAATTTATTTTTATATTTAATTATAAAATTTTAAATTTTAAAAATAATTAAAATCAAGTTGATCTATAAACATATGAAAATCTTGAACATGAACGGTGTAGATAATACGTTGTAAAATGCGACTTAAAATCTGTTTATTTTTCATGTTCATACATTTCGATCTCGATGTCGAGATGATCAATCAAAAGGTTTTTCAACAATAAAACTACCTTTTTTAATGGATTTTTGAGGTGCATCCATAATTTTACATTATAAGGTTGCATCTTTATATAACCTTTTTTCAAATAAAAAATATATGAAAATTGATTTTATGTATTTTATACTATATAATTAGTATACTTTACATGTAATGTATACTAATATATTTATAACGAGTTAGTTTGACCTGGACCTTAACCCGACCCGACCTAATAGAATCCAAACTGCATCTAGATGGTTGGGTCGAGGTCAAGTGACCTAGATCGACCTGTTGGATCCATCATCTGGGTCCAGACCCTAACCCGATTGGGTCATCCCCTCAGGCCCCATGGGTCAAACCATTTCCCACCACTAGTGCAGATCTCTCTCTTACATATGTTCATAGAGTTAAATCTGTGCAATCTTTTGTTGAGTGGATAAGAGGACACACACCCACTAAGAGCATGTAACTATTGTTTGAAAACTAATGGGAATTGGATCAAGGCTGAGAGTGATTAGTAGCTGACATTAACAACACTGCAAAGTTTTTAAAAACAATTTCTTTGCCGATTGTGATTACTAGGGTCTCTTTGTACATTCCTTTCTCCTACTGGCAGCTCTCTTCCTCTTAGATCTCAATACTGTAATCTCCCTGTTTGTTTATTACCTTTCTTCTCGCAGTGGTCTTAGATCTCTCTCTCTCTCTCTCTCTCTCTCTCTCTCTCTCTCTCTCTAATCTGGGAATGCTTAGAGAGAGAGTGTGAACCCTTTCATCAGGCGTTCCTCCACAAGCCGTCCCAAACTAAAACCTCTCTCCAATCCCTTCACTTCAGCTTTCTCTCTCATGGCTAGAAAACCCATCTCACAAGCTAACCGTGATCACAGCGCCAATTGGGGAACATGCCAAACGAATTTTGCAATTGCAGAGCTCGCAAAAGAAGGAAAAATCAATGAAGCTCGTAAACAATTCGATAGATTGCTACACAAAGATATAATTTCATGGACCTCGATTATCTCTGCTTATATCAAGTGTAAAATGATCCGAGAAGCTCGTCAATTATTCGATCGATCGCCCCATAAAAATGTTATCACTTGGACTGCTATGCTGTCAGGTTATATTCGAACAAACCAAATTCATGAAGCCGAGAAGCTCTTTCAGCAAATGCCAGATAAAAACATTGTTTCTTGGAACACCATGATCTTGGGTTACACCCAAAATAACAGAATTTGGTGCGCTTATAAGCTTTTTGAGCAGATGCCCCAGAAAAATGTGGTTTCATGGAACACCATGATCACAGCTCTGGCTCAAAATGGAGAGATAGAAGAAGCCATTAAGCTTTTTAACAAGATGGGTAATAGAGATGTGATTACTTGGACAGCAATGGTAACTGGACTTGCTAAAAATGGAATGGTCGATGAGGCTCGAAAGCTCTTCGATACCATGCCTGAGAAGAATGTGGTTTCTTGGAATGCCATGATAGCTGGTTATGTGCAAAATTCTCAATTAACAGAAGCTCAATCCCTGTTTAATGAGATGCCGGAGAGAGATATAGCTTCATGTAATAATATGATAACTGGGTACATACAAAATGGGATGCTCGACAATGCCCGCCACCTTTTTAGAGAGATGAGAGAGAGGAATGTGGTTTCATGGACTGCAATGATCACTGGTTTTGCTCAGGCTGGTGAGAATGAGAAGGCAATCAAAACCTTTGCAAGGATGCGTCGAGCCCAAGTGAACCCAAACCGTGCCACCTACATGAGCCTGTTAAGCTCATGCGGGTGCATGGCCGGCTTAGACGAAGGGAAACAAGTGCACCAACTCATAAGCAAGACGCATTGGCATGAAGATGTGTATGTACAGAGTGCGTTAATCAGCATGTATGAGAAGTGTGGTCAAATCGATTTAGCAAAAGAAATCTTCGATTGCACGAAGAAAAAGGACGTCATCTCATGGAATGGCATGATAGCTGCTTATGCCCATCATGGCATGGGGCTCGAATCCATTCGATTGTTTGAGGCAATGCGATCTCTCGGGTTTGAACCTGACGATGTCACCTATGTTGGAGTCTTATCAGCATGTAGCCATTCAGGGCTGGTTACAGAGGGACTCGAATACTATGATTCTATGGTAGAGACAGGAAATGTGCTGGTGAGAGAAGAGCATTATGCTTGTGTGGTTGATCTCTTGGGCCGAGCTGGAAGGCTCGAAGAGGCAGTGAGCTTCATTCTTGATTTAAAAAATAGGCCTGGTGCTTGCATTTGGGGTGCATTGCTTGGGGCCTGTAGTGTGCATGGTGATGTGAAAATTGGGGAATTCGCATCCAAGAGGCTCATAGAGATAGAGAGAGAAAATGCGGGGACATATATGCTTTTGGCCAATATATATGCAACAGTGGGGCGGTGGAGAGCGGCAGCGGGGGTGAGGTTAAAGATGAGAGAGGAAGGGTTGAAGAAGCAGCCTGGTTGCAGTTGGATTGAGGTGAAAAATAGAGTGAATGTGTTTGTTGTGGGGGATAAGTCTCATGAGAAGGCTGAGAGGATTTATAGCTTGCTTAAAGGTTTATATAGGCACATGATGCGGGCTGGGTACGTACCTTCTTTCCTACCAAAATTCTAAAGTGAAAGACTGACTGACGATCCATTTATAATGGCATCCAGTGTCCACAATCACTAATTCTTTTAAACTAATTGTATTGTAGAATATCATCAATTAATTCATTTCTCCATATTTGTTTTGAGAGAAAGGAAGAGACACATTTGACATGAAAAACATGGCAATGCCGATCAAGCGTGAGACTTGGGCCAGCCTTGCTTAAAACCCTCAGCCTTAAAAATCCATCATATAAGGCGGTTTTGAAGTTGGAAAACCTTGTAATTGATCTATATCTCGACATCGATACAGAAAGTGAGTACAGAATGTGAGAGGAGGGGGGGGGAGCAGTATACCTTCTGATGGGTTCAACCCATAAAATAAGCAACCCATAATATTGCATCTTACAATACGTTATCTAGACCGTCCATTTTCAATATTTTCATGTCGTTATAGATCTACTTGATTTGCACCATATTTAATGTGTTTATAGAGATCTACTTGATTTGCACCATATTTAAAAGCTAAAATATTATACTTAGAGATGCAAATGGATTCTCACGCTATCCTAAGATTTTTCTCTTTTTTTTTTGACAACAAAATTAGATTTAAATCTTATTATAAAATTTGGTGGTGCCCCTTACTTCAATTGTTAACCCATCCGAAAATTAACAAGTACTGGTGTAGGCCAACCCAATCCCATTAATAGGTCCGCACACCTAGCCCAAGTGTAGGGTCAGTCCGAGCCTTGGGCCTCTAGGATCATGGGTGATACTTGGGCCAGCCTTGGCCTACACTGGGCCTAGAGGATCCCGGGCCCACCCAAGCCGTAGCTCATTGCCACCCCTACAAGAAAGCTGGCAATACAGCATACAAAATATAAAGTGTGCTGCAGACATGCAGATCAAAACATAAAAGATGTGCTGCATACCTGCACACCAGAAATCTCTCTACCCCTTCTTTTTAACTGCTCAATGTAAGACATCCACTACACATATCTAGTTATATTAACATCCGCACAATTTTCAAGATCAAGCTCATAATTGGAGAAGAAAAAACACCACCAAAAGTAAGTAAATAAGATTAGCATTGTTTCTTAACTCTTAAAATGTCAACAAAACACAGCAAATCCTACACAATCTACAAGATAAAAGAATAGCCAGCCCCACCTCCACATTGATTCATACAAACCCAACATTGCATCATTCTCATCGCCTCTGCCTCAGCTTAAATTAACACTCTTGTCCTTAGTTCACCTTTACTCCACAATTCTGTGAGCAGTAATCGTGTAAGCCCAACCAGTCTGCTTTCCTTCTACTCGTCTATATCTCTGTCGCTCTACATAACTTATTTCCGAGCCCTCTTTTGCTCTCTCCATTTCTCTCTAGAGAACTCTCTCTCTATATCTAGAGAACTGTCTATTGTTCTTGAGCTGTACCATTGGTAATCCAATATTGTTTAACTGCAACCAATACCTTTTGAGGCACCAAAGGGCCATCTTCGTGATCCACCATTTTGGTGTTCCATCTCATTCCACTAGCCATCTTCTTCACCTTGTTTAGGACATCAACATCATCACGGAATATGACTGCCCCTTCGGGCCTCAAGATCCGGTCCATTTCCAAGAGAATGTCTTCCATCTTGCACCTGCTTATGGCAATTCAAAAGCATAGACCATCAGTAAAATGATTGTTTCGAGAAATAAACAATGGATACCCAGTGAAATAAGTGGACCCATTAATATCCAAGAATGGACCTAAAGTTTTTGGAATTAGAAGGATCCTGAGCCATGAAAATACCACAAGCACCAATTATTTTGAAAGAAGGCCTTGCGGCTAGTTCAATCACTTGCAAGAAGTTAAGAATTGAAACAAAAGAAAGAACAAATTATCATGACTGATTCAAACCCAAAATGTATGTAACAAATATGAATTTTGAGGGGGGAAAAAGATATTGTTGCAAAGTGGAATTCAATTCATGGCAATTTTTTCGCTTTTTTAATACCATTTGCAGTTTTTTGTGGCTTTTTGGAATGTTTTACTGTTTTGATATCATCTAGAATTGACAATATTCCAATCAACTAATAGAAGAGGAAAGCAATGTTTCAAAGTTTGTACAAGAGATGGACTTACTTGTCATTATACAAGCTGAAAACACCATGCGCATGAATAAGGTCATATGTCCTTGGGTAAGTGGAGAAAGCTTCACACCTGAGGTAGTGAGAGAAACGAATGTTTATGCAATCAACAGCCAACAAAGAAAAAGTATAACCATCCTCATTCGATGTTTATACACTCAAGAGATAGAACTTACATCAAATTACGTCTAATAGAAACCGGCAATTGAAGAAGAGAAAAAGGTACAATGCTCACAACAACAAAATACTGCATTTGAGTATGAACATCAACTTTCGGATCCCAATTGCTTATAGAGAGATGTCTATGCAGTGAGTTTCAAAAGAAAAATACCGAGAACTTTCTTGCAGATTAATGGCTTTCTCAGAAAACACATTGTTGCAGTATGTTGCATAAATCATTATTAGCCAGAGACGACTTGCGAAAAAATGTTTACGAAATTAAGATTTAACTCGAACAATGCAACGAGTATGAAAAGCCGACAAAAAGCATACCAGTCGTGGTAAATGCCAATCAAGCCTCGCTCATATATGACACCCAATGTGTTCTTCTCAGCAATAGTAGGCACGACATTCATCACCCATGACTTAGGAGATTCGATAGCAGCGGCAAAACCACCAAGACCTGCATTCATGTCCATGATGTTGCGATATCGGCCTGATACAATTAACTTGTTTATTTTCTTGTAAAGATTAACATGCTTCCTCCACAACTTATTGTCCTCCTTATATGATTCCACCGTCACCCCTGGTACTGATCCACTAGCAATCCTAGGAGGAACAGCCATCAATCTGTCTGGAAATTTCTCTAATGCCCCTCCAGATACTTCATCTGGACTGTTAACCTCAGGATAAGGGGTTATGCATGTCTCCATTTTCTTGTACCTGAGAGCGACACCAAAGAGAATAAGGGGAAACAATAATGAAAAAAGTAAAGAATTGGGTGAAATCCTTTTTGTTGTTAGATTCCTAATATGACTATCGTCTTTCAGCACATCATAGGATTTTTTTTTTTTTGAGTTGTTTGGGAAAGGATAATTTCTTTTCTCAGTACATTCACTGGGAAGCCAACACAGATGCATGTAACTTGGCCTAATCAGGATAAGGGAAATCGTAGTCCCATAGGTGTTTCCCATCTTTGGGACTCTTTCTGTCATTGTAAAGAATTTATTGCACCTCCCTCTCAGATCAGTAAATAGAAGTTACTAAAAAAATGGTTTTTATGTCACAAAAATAATTATTTTACAAAAAAGAAAAGGAAGAAGTTTATATAAGGTTGCAACCTTAAAATATAGATTTAAAGATGCACTGCAAAAATCCATCGGAAAATATTGTTTTCATGTTGAAGAACCCTCTAGTTGATCATCTCAACATCGAGATGTATGAATATTTAAAAAAAAAAAGAGAGATTTTGAATTCCAGAAATAGTGCATCTTGCAACACATATCTAGACCGTCCATTTTCAAGATTTTCATATGTTTATAGATCTACTTGATTTTAATCATTTTTTTAGTCTAAAATTTTATAACTAGATATGAAAATAGATTTTCAGATAATCCTAAGAATTTTTTAGACCGAAATTATATACTATAATTAAATTTGGAGCTGTGCCTTAATTGGATTGTTTAAGGTTTGAACCTTATAGAAACCACACCCAAAAGAAAAAGAAAGCCTGGAAAGCAATGGGAGAAATTCCAATGTGCAAAACATGCATGCATGTAAGGTGCCTACAAATATTGTTGCAAAATGAGATTTTACATGTGGGATTCTGTGCATAATTAAACACTAAGTTGCACATCATTGGGCATTTATTTTCTAACTTCAAATAGGTAAAAAACTCAAATCATTATTGGAAAACAATGACATACCTAGGTCAATCCACAGTGTTTCTCAGTTCATTAAAATGTCATAAAATGTTTTTTAATGCAACTTTTGAAACTGGTTTCAATCTCATGGTAAAACTAAGAAAGGTGGATGCACAAATCAAATGAAAGGAATCAAGACAAACAAACATTATACTGTAAGACAAACATATTTTCTATTATACATATAGAATTAGCTACTCAGAAAGGATAGAGAAACACACATGCAAATGCAAATGAAAGTAACATCATGCTATTGAATTGGAGATGCATAGAAACTAACCAGACATCATCTGGTTTAGGAGATTCACACAAAGAGACTCGCGCCTCGTCTCTTCCAGGGCAAGATTCACTGTTTACTCTCTTCCTCCAAACAGCAATATCTCCATTCTGAGAAACCTTTTCCCAGCACAAAAGAGCTGCAATCTCTTCAATTTTTCTTTGCTCCTCTTGGAGGTCTTCCTTAGTCCTTTGCCATGCTTGATAGTGAGTCTCCCAATTGATTGGAGGGCCTGATAGCACCCAGTATCCACCAGGTCTTAGAACTCGATCCACTTCCATCAAGTACATTCCATCTGCCAATACAACAATTTACTTTAGAGAAAAATCCAGAGGTAACATGGAGAACATTACAAATCTGACATGGCACTCACATTATAGAAATAACAAGATCAAATATGTACCATGAAGATTAAGAGACTTGTGAAGCATAACAATCAAAATAGAATAAAAAATTAGAAAGAAGTCCTGCCAAAAACTTGGGCAACAGAAAAACTGAAATTGTTTCTCACCGTTGCCTCCCCAAGGGATTAGACAACGTGAACAGTGAGCCATATCAAATGCTCGAGATGGATATGGCAGCTTAATGGTCCCAAGAACACCAATAACTGCAGGCACACCTCGTTCTAAAGCAAACTGGACCTGAGCTTCATGTGAATCCCTTGGAGCAAAGGACATGGCAATTACATTTCTTTTTAAGAGATAAGCACCCCAGCTAGCAACCTACACCAAGTTAGAATCAAGAATCACTTTCACTGTCACAAGAAAAGATTATGGCCAACAACTGCATAAGAAAATGTACAGAGTCCCACATTGAAACACGTATTTTACTACCATGGACAACTTAAAGAAAATCAATAACTAAATACAGAAAGAGCCCACTGGAAAATATATTTACAATGAATGACATAATATACGTTTTCTGTTTTTAATAAAAAGATAATCTAAATGTTCTTGATTTAGAGAGAAACTGGAATTCGAAGATAATAATTTTGGCAAACAAATAAATGTAAAGGGACAAGAGGAAATTAAATAATGGAATGAATGACATAAAGCAATGTACTATAGCAAGACAGCAGCTTATTGTGTCATCTCCATCCAATGACATGATGCACAGTGAGCGTGCTGGAACCAACAATGGAGTCAAGTCGTGTTCCTGTAAGCCCCACTCTCTAAACCAGCACCCATCAAACCAATGGAGGCTGATCATCCGATGTATTATATAGTTTTTCCACAATCAGTTTAATTATAGTGTACTTCCTATAACTAATTATGAGCTAATAGATTCCAAAAATGTCAGTCCATAAAAAAACCTAAGAGGCTAAAAACATACCCCACATCCAGTATCCAGCGCAGTTCTAACAGTGCCATTGGCAATAGGAATTACGGCAGCAAGTTGATTGATATATGTATCAGCTCCTTGAGGAAATTGTGTTCCACCACCAGGAAACCTGAACACGTTACCCTCATATTGGACCCAGTTCTGCACAGCCTTCTCCACTGTCAGACTCTTATATGGCACATTTGCATAAGGGACATAATCTCGGCTCTTTGGCCATTGAAATGGAGTCACATAACCCTTGGGCGCAGGGATGAGACAATCCAACGTTTCTTCATCTGTTGGGCAATGCCTCTCTCTGTATATCATATTTTCACGAGGAAATGTCATTGCCCGCCTCTGATCTTGACAAGGAGTATAGTCAATATAGCGAGCGTCACACGGCTCAAAAACTTTAGGCTTGGATTCAAAAAGGTCCTTTGTGATTCCGGCATCACCATGATGAGTCTCGAAGCTCAAGTTCGGCATGACATTACATTCTGTTTGACTTGTAATTTGCATAGCTATGCTATCTCCCTTTCCAAAACCACTCTTCTGCCATACTCCCAATATGTAGAAGAAACAGCACAATCCCACCACAATAAATATGGAAATAGAGCTGCGAGTCCTGCTTTCAGAGGGGTTGAATTTTGACCCCATTGTGTACCAGAAGCTGTTACATCCGAGGCCATTTCAGCAAATATGAAAGAGATTTTATTGTGAGTAGCTACTAGAGATACATATGGTAAATGTTAAAAGCAAGTAAATGGCGCAAATACTGCAATGCTTAAATCCATGTATAGTAAAATAATGTAAAAGTTTCTTTCTTTAGATGAGAGAAAGGGCAAGGAAGTTGGCCACAGAACTTATTTTCTCGTGGGCCAATAACAGCAATATAAGCAACGAATAAAAGCATGATTTACAAAGCATTGTCCAAATAATATCAGGAGACAAAAGTACAGCACGAGAAGCAAGATTATTCAATCATTTAATGGACAGAAGATGCCAAGCTTTAAATATCCTCACTGGCTGCACAGATAAGCATCTTACAACATAGAAAAGACTCCAATAGTGGCTGCACAGATAAGCACCTTACAACATAGAAGAGACTCCAATAGATAAACCAAGAAACTTTATACTCGAAATAATCGCACATTTATGAATCTTTTGTATATTCATTTCTTTTTGTGAGTAAATAATACGCATCCCAAAATATGCCATGATAACGATAAGCAAACGTTGTAAACAACAACCAGGTGGAAACACAAGCATGACCCAACTCCCAACCTTTAAAGATCGAAATCAGTAGATCACATACTGCTCAAGGAAACAATTAGATAGAATAATTCCAAATCAAGGATGAATTATTTTTTAACATGCAGCATTACCTCATCAAGATTGCTTTCGGAAAGGTATATAAAGAATGGTGGTAGACTCGGAACAAATATAAAACCCCAGCAATCAGAACCCCTCAGTTGGTTTAACAAAAACAAACGAACAATTTAAGCCCTATAAGGAGGCTAGCAAGTATCAAGAACATTGTACTAGCAACCATATGTTTCAAGAAAATAGACTACATGAACATATCATAAAGTCAAAAAAAAAAAACATAGATAACTAATAGTTCACCATAGATTCAGATAAAATCTCAAAATACATCCAAACAAACAACATAGTGATTAAAGAAAGTAACAGCAGGGAGGCATGATATGTATCAGATTTGATCTGCCAAATCTATATTTCCAAGAAAGAAGTAGACTAACAGTGGAAAGAATAAAAATGTATAAAGTGAACTTTCACGGCAAACTGAACCGCTAAAGCTGAATCTAACAAAATAATCAAACAACTTATGAAATAACCAAATCAAAAGCACAAATAGAACCAAAACACATCAGAATTACTTCAATGAATGCCAAGCCACCAAATTTTGTGATTTCAAAACAACAAAGGCTCAAGTACACATATTTACCTCTATTTGGCAGTCAAGAGGCCAGATCAAGAGCTCAAGGCTCTAAACAGCCACCCTCGATCCAGTGAGAAATCCCAGAACACAGTTTCTACTGCATTCCAGAGCAGAAAAACTAGGTCTAACAGCAGTGAGTGCAAAAATACAGCATAAGAAGAAGCAGTAGAGGAATTCGAAACTCGATTGTGTTCTTAATACCTGCAAATCCCAACAAAAAACTTTGTGTTTGCACAAGCTTCAGATCAGTAAGCAGAAACCACACATGAAAAGGTTATAAACCCTAGAACACAGTTTCTACCTCGAACAGTGCTCAAGCTCTGGATCTGTAAGCAAATAAGGGGATTTCAACGATAAATAAGAACCTGACCGGCGAATTAGAAGAATCCCCTTGTTTGCAAAACCCTAGGTGCTGGCTCTGCTAAAAAAAAAAGAAACAGAAAAAACGAAGATTTTTTTTACTGAACACGCAACAACTTAGAGAAAGAAAGCACTTAGACCTTACATATGGGACGGGTTTCAGGGGCTCTCTTCAAGTTTAGAGAGAGAAAGACGCGTCGATCTGATCAAGGCGATTTTGTTTGGGTTTGAGCTCGGATTTGTCAGCGAAATACGCGGGTTTTTATCGAAACCTGTTATCATATCGATTGAGTACGGGTCCCATGCTCTTTCTCTCTCTAAATTGGCTTTTCTTTTAATGATGACGTCACTGCACTCCCTCTTTGCTCTCTCTCTCATCATCTCCACTACATTATTCACCTTTACATTTTCTCCTACCAAATCGTCCTCCCTCTTCCTCTCTCATGTTGACAATCGATCCGATCAGGCCCGGGACGTGATGGGTAGACTTACCTCCGGTTTGGATATGAGTTTAAAATTTGGACTCTAATGTTATTTGGGTCCGTATTTGGGACCGGATCCGAGTTCATGGACTATCCGAGTTCATGTCCGAGTCCAGCAGAACCCGACCAGTATCGGACCCATTGCCACCCCTACTCTCTCATTGGAAATAAGCATGGCAACTAACCCATCCCTGGTTTTGTTAAGGCAAGGCCAAGCCGCTCGCCTTGTAAAATTAAAGAAAATAAATTTTAAAAATATGAAAAATAAGGGTTGGGCTGGGAGGGGCGGGGCCTAGCCCAAACCCGACCTTAGAGCCACATTTTGCAACCTAGGCCGTAATTATTTTGGGTTGAGCCAACCGGCCGAGGTGGGCCACCTAACCTATTGCCACCCCTTCCCGTAAATTCTCCATATTTAGAGAAAGTTGTATCATCTCAATTTCCCCACTACTTCTCTCATTTCAAAGGAGATAAGTTGAATTTTTTCCTATCATGCCTTTCTAACGCAGTTATATGTATAAAAACAAGATATTTTATTTTTAGGACTTAAAAATGGCATCTTTTTTCGTATCCATAAACTTTCACTATCAGGAATATACATGAGATAAACAAAGGAAAATGCTTATATACAGGGGGGTATTCTAAACAATCAAGTTAACAGACACTTCCAAAAATCACTAGAAGAGGTTATTTCGATGCCTACAAATTCTCAAATCAATCATATGTACCTCATGATGTATGGACATAAGAAAAAATAAATTTTAAATCTTGAAACCATAATGCAATGCATTTATTAGACCATAAATTTTCAAGTGTGGCCTTCAATACTTTCTTTCTTTTGAATTATGTATCCAATGACCATTCTAAAACCATATGAAATAATACGGAATGGGATTGGGGCAATTGTGGCTAGGGGGCGGATATATCGATAATCTCCCACCCAGCATTCGTGCCACTAACATATTAAAAAAAAAAAAAAATAGAAATATATTTTTGCAATAGAAAATAGCTGCAAATTTGATTGATTTAACATCCATGTTTTAGATCGAATGATAATTTGACATACAAGATTAAGCAATTCAAATATCGTCCAAAACACAAATTTGGTGCAAGAAAAACTACAAGTGGACTATCTCCATTGTGGAGATCTTGGATCTAAAAAAAGATAAAATAAAACAAATAGGTTTCAAGCCCTATAAATTACCTATTAGCCTTCTAATAAGTATCCACATATGCATTAAACTTGCAATATTTTCAAGTACTTAATATTCAATACACAAGTACAAAATAGATTTACATACCACCACATGGTAAGGTTTGAAGCGTAGCCTCCGCAAATTTTACAAAGTCGGGACCTTACAAAACTTCAGTTTTTTTTTTTTTTGGAGAATTCAGTAAAGAAGACATATCCCTACTCATTTTTTCAAAAATTAATCCTATACAATCATCTTCTTTTCATATATGTAGAACCTCAAATGATCACTATTAAACTTGATACAGATCTATAGAAAAATCAAATCTCACGACTTTTCTAAGTGTCCGTATTAATTTTAATGATAACCATTTGAAGCTGGAAGGAGTCCTATAGGATTATTACTAGAAGTCAAGTTTTGAAAGGGTTAGTGGGTGGTGTCGTAACTCGAAGATGCCATCACCCTTTTCTTTTACTCTCTCTCTCTCTTATTATTGCATATGATGGTCACCATGCTTTCCCTTTCGTTGCCGTATGGGTCTACTCTTCTTGTCTTTGCAAGAGTGGGCTGCCACTCTCTCTCTAAAATGCAAAGCTTTTCTCTCTCTCTACTGTTGTCATCTCTCTCCACTTTCTCTCTCTAAAATGCAAAAGGCTTTATTTTCAACGGGTGGGCCCCGCACATACGGGAGCGTCGGCAGCCGTGTAATGAAATGGTCTCCTATTAATGAGGTATATTATCCTTTCCATACTGTAACATGATATCTATTTATATGTTCTAAATAACCCAAAGGAATACAAAATAACAAGGGCTTCAATCAAGGGCGAGGTAGATCAAGGTGCACTTTTAAATTTTGTCAGATATAGCTAATTTCAATTATGAAATTTAAAAATTTAAAATAATACAAATTGAGCTGATCTATAAATACTTGAAAATTAATAGTTGAAATAACATATTACAAAATATATTACTTTTAGAACTTAATTTTTTTATTTTTTATTATCTATACATCTCGAATTCTAGATGATCAATTAGAAGGTTTTCGAACTCCCAAACAATCTTTTCTAGTGGATTTTTTAGGTACACCTTACTTCTATAGCATAAGGTTGTGCCCAAATATAAATATTTTCTTCCAATCTAATATAATACGTGTACCGTATCACTGGATGTGTCGAGCCCACCATAAACCCGCGAGTCAGCACAAGGTCATAGGGGACTAATTTGAGTTACGCCAAAATTATGGTTGTGCTCATAAATAATAATTTCATAAAACTCTAATCATCCACTTTTAATAGTTCTCACTCATTTTTTCATGAATAATTAATGAAATTATTGTTGAAAGGGTAGTTTTTAAGTCCTCTTTTCTTATGTACATCTAAACAAAAAAAAAATCGAGAGTATAAATTTTGGGAATTTTTTAAGGGGTTCTATACAATGAGACCATTTACCTATTATACAATGTGGTTACAATTATGTACAATCATCCAATGTGAAATCTGATAGCTTGGTTGTTTAACAAAGTTAGAGAAAATTTTATTTTAAATTTGAGCTTGGTCAATGGAATAAATGCAACCATCTAATTTCACATCCAATGGTCAAGATTAATTGTGACCACCTTGTATCAAAGATAAATGGTCTCATTTAAATCTTTGATTTTTTTTTTCTCTCATGTTTCACATATTTTTGGCAAACTTGTTCCTAAATGTTCCTAGCACGTTGATGCACAAAATCCCTAGCATATTTTTTTGAATAAAAAGAGAACCTCTAACATTAATGATTTGTTTTATTTCCACCATTTGAATTAGTTATACTCTGCTTTTTTATCTATTTTCTCTCAAGAAAACACGATTTTGCTCTTTCTTTGACTGCTCTATAAGATTCGATTTATTTTTTTGGACCTATAGCTCCGATTAGATGAATTCGTAATATGAAAAAATTGGCTTTTGTTTTGCATTTTGAGCTTGATTTTTTATCTTGAGTTTGATTTAAGCTCCTAATATATGAAATCAAAATTTCCATTTTCATTATGTTTTTTTGCCCGCTTTTCATCCCCCAAATTCCTTTTTGTATTTTTTAAATACTGTACCGATCCTACTAGTCAAGTCAAATGATTTTTTTGGCATAAAATGTTTTAGAACTTTTGTTATAATAGGAACATTTTTTGGGACAAATTTGAATAGAGTTCGTTGAAATAATGAGATAGAAATCGAAGTTTTTGTTATTTAAAGATGCAAAAACCGCCAAAATTTAGAATTTCAAATTTTCTTGTTTTTAGTTTTGCATTCGACAAAATTGATGTAGGGTTCTGATGAAGGGCTTAAACACAATTAATGTGGAATAAGTTTCCAAGTTATTTTATTCATAGAGAAATGGGACGATAAACATATTTGATATTTAGGGTTGAAGAAACACGATATTGTTTCTATGAAAAATTGTAAAAATCTAAAATCAATCCAAATAAACTAGTTTTGGGTAAATATAAGGTGTTAAAAGATTGATTTTGGAGATTACATAGTATTGAATCAATTATTCAGGAGCTCAAAGAAATAACTCAAAACCTTATTTTTTTTAGCTTTTTAGCTTGAATACATGGTAAGAGGTAACTTGCTCGAGTCGAGGCGAGGCGAGAACCTGATAAGTCTCATGTCCTCATAACTCATTGAAGTGGATGTGCCTCGTACAGCACACAAGTGATACGTGTACATGCCATATTTTTCATGATTTCTTTTAAGTATTCAATGCTACACTATTTACTGAGCCGAGTCAGCTGAATGTTTGGGTATTCGGAATATCTCGAGTCTCTATAGTGAACTGCCCAATCTTAAATCCAGGCATGTCCCCAGCCTGGGACCCTTTGGATTTGGGAACCCTCTAGCTCTAAGCCGAGTCAGTTCGAATGCTCTTTCCTCGCTGGTTTACAGGGAGTGTGTATATTGTTTTATGATAAAAAACACCTCTATTTTTGAGCATCACAAGGCTAAAATATGAACACGTGTCTATGTTTTAATTGCTCGTGTCGACATATCAAGTACATGACAACTTTTTTTTTAAATGAAACATCAGTTGAAACATGAAGGATACGATTTGCACCCTGTTTTAAAAAATAGAGAGGGGGGGGGGGTGGGGGGGCTAAGATTTGCTTCACAGGTTATCTTAATTATTTATGGGGATGGTGGTGTGCATCTACATATTTAAAGAAATTTGGACCACATGAGCACCATTTCCCCCCTCATTATCCTAGTTATTATCACTTAAAAAATATCATAAACATATACTTTAAAATAAAAAATCTGGGACACACATTGTTGTAAAGGCGTATGACACTTTGGCATGTTTTAGTTTACTTCCTAATGAATGTTGCTTTTGATTGGAAGGAATAAAGGGTAGGTTGAGAACATGGGAGGAGGTCATGTATTAAAAAAGGGCAAAAACAAAGAAGGAAAAAAAATAGAAGTACACAAAGTACAAGATGGAATTAATTTAATTTTGATATATATATATATTAAACCATATAATAGTTGGGCAGCTATAACGAACAGTAATATAAATGAAATGAGAGCCGTAAGATATTCATCATGTGGTTTAGAATGTATATCATTATATGATTTTAATTTTTTCTTTTCTAAAAATCGGATCATAATGAAAATTTAGACATGTGCACTCAAAAATAAGGCGCACAATTAAAAAAAATATAAATAATATTTTCCAAAATATAAAATGGCTTAAATACCCTTGAAAAATGATGAGGGTAATTTGATTATTTTATGTTATTGATTTTTTTATATATATATATATATTTATATGACGCACAATAGTGTTAGGTATATACATACAAAACTTCATCTTAACCAGATTTATAAAAAAAAAAAAATTAAATAGTAATATGTATTTTGAACCACTCGATAAAAGATCTACTGTCTGAGATTCCATTTATATTACTATTATATATATATAGAATAAACATTACAATAACTTATCAACTATAACGAATAGATTAAAAAAGACAATGCGATAACCATGTATGGGGGTGCTACCACCACAACGGAACGCCTTTTCTACACCTAAGATACCTTACATATACATAGAACAAGGAACACAATTTTTCAGGGTCAGCAAGGAACATTTGGGTTATTTCTGCCACTTACACCCAAATATCTTTATGTGTCAAATGACATAAATAGTCCTAATCATTCCTCATTAGGAACCTTGAAACGCATGTTTTGCATTTGTAACACTGAACAAGTATGATATTTTTATTATTTGTTTGGGGCTCTCGAGGGTCAAATTGTAAAAATTCCTTTTGATTGTTTAAGTTAATGAGGAGAAGCGATTATATACAATGATACTACTTATATCTTTATTACAAAAGAGGTGATAACTACATGTCAAATGCGATGGTTTGGGCTACTCAAGAAGTCCAAAAATTTTGTTTTTTTATTTTATCTTTGAGTCGTTTCAATTCCACTCTTATAGCCACCCAATTTGTAATCTAAAGACAACAATAATGATGACCACCTTGTACAAAAATAAATAAAAGTCTCTTTTAATACTTCCCCAAGAATTTTTTTTTTAAGGGTACCCAACTAAAATGAAAAAAAAGCAAGTGCTCCTAAAATTAACCAGGATTATTTGATTCTTTGATGTTTTCTTCATGGCGGGTTAAACCCCTTAAATGATGTTTTTATGTACAAGAGATATTGGCATTTTTTTTTCCCTTTTTTTCTATCTGTTCTGGGTTTTGAACCTTGGCAACCACTCATTCCCAACTCTCTCTCTCTCATTCATCACTCTCTCTGGTTTTGAATATTTGCAGCCACTCATTCCCAAATCTCTCGTGCTTGTAAATGTAGGCCTCTGATTTTATACCCGTACTCTATCTTCTCTCCTCTGCCATCTCCCATTAGCAATTCCAACTCTCTCTCTCTCTCTCTCTCGCTCTCACCTCTGTAGTTGGTTTAGCTAAACGGAGCTGAGCTCTGGAAGCAATGCACTTGTCACTTTGCAACGCGCCCCTTCAAATGCATGGCCATGGACCGCCCGTACACCATGGATGCAGAGAGGCTTTCTTCAGAGGCCTTCGTTCTCCTTTACATCTCTCAAAGCATAATGTTGGTGATTCCATTCACTCACAGTGAGTACTAAGGCTTGCAATTAACTGCTTTAATCTTTTTTATGTTATCCATATTTACTTTATCAGTTCATCCTAATCTCTCTATGGAGTTGGGGTGCTTTAATTTGGCCGGCACGCTTCATTTGAATGTTGCTTCCTTTGTTTGATGGGTAATTCATCTCATTATTTCGTTATACGTGTTAACTATGCAAGTTGGAAAATTATGGTTGGGTTTTGGACCAAAACAGGAACTGAATCTTCAACGAACTGGGGCCCTACTGTTGAATTTTGGCCAGAATCAGTTTTTTGTTTTATTTTCTGATATTTTCTTGCCTGGTTAGTGTTGATTGATCAGAATTGGCATAGTGGGTGGTAGTTACTCTTAATTCCCTGATCCTGATTATACTTTACTTTTGTTATTTTGTTTGTGATATTTTAGGCCAAATGAAGATTGCAATAAGAAAACTGATGAGACGAGCGTTTGGTGTAATATTTTCACAAAGCGTAGGATGGTAATCGCGAGCATGTTCGTATATTTTTGGCCTCAACCTTTAAGGTACTACTCAGGTTCGATCTAATGTCTTACATTAGATTTACATTACATTTAAGAGTTGTTAGATTTCTTCAAGTACACAAAAATTCCGTTTTCTGTTGTACTAAACCAGAAGGAGAAATTTCATATGGCTGCATTCATGCTCTCAATAAGCATTTCGAACTTGCATTGATGGGATCATTTCTTTTTTATTTTGGTATTGTAAAGGATTGAATATAGTTTTTTCCTTGTGATAAGTGGATTATTGTATTTGTAAGTTTTACCTTGAGATCAAGATTCGGCATTTAGGATCCTTTTATTCTAGGAATTGGCATTGTATGCCTTTTTCTAGTTAGCGGATTGGCTGATTTTCTATTATCTCGTGTCTAGTATGTGCTTTTGCTTTGATATTGTTAAAAGAGTACCTTTCCTTTATACTACAAACGAGTTGATGTATTAGCATTGTATTGAGTTTGTAATGTTTGTTTTTGCATTGACAGCCCATGCCCTCGGTGATCCTTCCGTGACAATTGAAGAAGTTACTCCACCCATTCTTCCTTCTGGGAAATTATTCCCTTCTGAGGTTTAACATGATAAAATCAAATACATTTTTTATTTTTGTTTTTTTGGTTCTATCATTGTAGAAAGGAAATGAATTTTCTTTATTTTTTCAGGAAAGGATCGTTAAGGTTTTTGAGAAGAATACCTATTCTGTTGTCAACATTTTTGATGTGACATTGCGTCCTCAGCTGAATATAACAGGCATTGTTGAGGTATATATAAGAGCCATTAGCTCCTGTTGCATAGAATTTATGTTGTCTTTGCTTTATTAGCTCGTAACATAGTGCTGCTATTTTTTTTCTATTTAGAATTTATTTAGTAATTTTTGTTGTCTTTGCTCCATCACGCATACAGTTGCACTCAAGAACATATACTAACAGATGCATATAATAAGGGGGGCAGGAAAAGAGAAGATAAGATAAAGATAGAGTGACCTTGATAACAAAAAGAAGCAGAGAGAAATTTTAGGTTACTGACTCCCCAAGCTTTCGAGAGCTAATATCCATTCCGTCCGCAGCCAATCTATCTTCTATCTTGTTTGCTTCTCTGCAGAAATGGCAGAAAGATCTTCCTTTTCACCTTTCTCTTCAAACTGATTACGCATTATCTTGCAAAACTTTTTTCCCCCTTTCCTCTTTTTGTTTTTTGTTAAATGGCAATAAAGTGTGCTATGCCCTAGCAAGTTTGGGGTAGCATTTATGAATACCAATCTGTGACTAAATCCAGGTTCCCGAAGGAAATGGATCTGGAGTGGTATGGGATGGGCAAGGACATATTGTGACAAACTATCATGGTAAGTCTGATTGGGAAAACTTGTGGTTTATTGTTTGCAATGTATGATAACTCTTTAATTTAGGTGTTATTTGGAGTTTGCCTGGATGCCACATCTCTTTTGCATGGTTTCTTAGGCTCAGGCTGTGCAGTAGGATTTGACTTGTCTGGATTATACTGCACGTCCACCTCAAGGATCATAGATTATCTAATAGTTGACATTTCATTATCGGTTTTGTTTTTTTTGTCATTGAATGTTAAAGTCTTGGTTAGTTGATGTCTTTCCTTAATTATGGATATGTATTTTTTGCCACAGTTGTGAGTAATGCTCTTTCAAGGAATCCTAGTCTTGGTCAAGTAGTTGCTCGTGTTAACATCTTAGCATCTGAAGGGTGAGCTCTAGGTCCAGAATCTAATTGCTATTTTCTTTCAACATAAATTAAATAAGATACTGGTTTGTCTCCGTTTCATATCTGTAATTTCTTGAATCTTACCTATCAGTGGTGTTTAAGTCATATTTTTCCTCATTGACTTGATTTCTTGAAGGCTGCAAAAGGATTATGAGGGCAAGTTGGTTGGTGCAGACCGTGCTAAGGATCTTGCTGTCTTGAAGGTAGAACTTTATCCTTCTAGCTGTTCAATGCTAGGATATAAGATAACTTCTTCATTCTTTAAAAACACTCTTAATACTATTTTTGGGCTGTTTCTTTGTAAATTGAAGGGAGAATGTCCCCTTTTATAGAAAGATCTTTAATTAACTTTCTAAGAGTGACATTATTGAGTTACGGTGGTTTTTACAACTAGGTTGGTCCATTTCTGCATGAAAACATGATTCTTTATTCTTTAATGGCATTAGGTGGATGCCCCTACTGATCTTTTGAAGCCAATTAATGTGGGGAAGTCATCTGGTTTGAGAGTTGGGCAACAGTGTCTAGCCATCGGAAATCCATTTGGTTTTGACCACACTTTGACAGTGGGGGTTATTAGTGGATTAAATCGAGAAATTTTAAGTCAAACTGGAGTTACAATTGGTGGTGGTATTCAGACTGACGCAGCCATCAATCCAGGAAACAGGTGCATATAATGGCTCTGCTCTGTGAACTTCGATCAATATTATTTTGATCACTTTTTATTTAGTACAGATCTTGTATCAGGAAGTCCTTCTTTTCTTCAATGTCAACTTGGGATCTGGTGAGAATGGAACTCTAGACGTCACCTTTTGGCACCCGCCACTTGACCACCTTTGCCTAGATCCATTCCCAGAAAAAGCTTGTGTATTCTCAAACTTACTAATGAAACTAAAAAGGATCTGGGATTAATGTATATCATCTACATATTAGATTCCCCAGAGAAAATATCTAATTTATTGCATGGAGTGGCCCTGAACAATTTGATCCCTTAAAATGGTGGAAATCAGTGGCATACTTGACATTTTTAATCCCTCATGCTCGAAATGACAAAAATTGCCATTGCACATTCTCTCTAACAACTGACTTATATTGAAGAATATTCTAATGTTGGAATCTCTTCTAGGGAATGCATGCAGCTGACTTGTTCGAAATTAAATTCAATATTGATCATGAACTGTTTCTTTGAACTCACATGATCTGCACATTGGTTATGAGCCAATCAGCCAACTACATTGAAGGAGCTAAAGAATATACTGATGCGTGTTATGCTATAATTCTTCATTCTTAACTGAATTCTGATAGAGATTGTGTATTGTTGGCAGTGGTGGTCCCTTGCTAGATTCCAGAGGAAACATGGTTGGGATCAACACAGCAATATTTACTCAGACAGGTGGATATAATGTAATTGTTTTTTTTGTTTTGTTTTTTTTTGGATTATAAGCAATCTTTTTCTAAGTCTGTAGACATCATTTTCTGTCATTTGGCTGTTTGATTTAGTAAAGTATGGAGCTGTCCTTGAATGCATCATAATTTCTGAAAAGTATTTGTTGAATATTGTTCCTTTTTGTAGGGATTTGTTATTGAGAATATTCTAGTGTGGATAGTACTAAAAAAACTTATCTTTTTCTTTGTATATGCAAATAACATTAAATTTTAGTGACCCTACAAGTGATGCATGCATGAAATTCATATGCACTTCTAAGTAAAAGGAGTCATTCATGGAAGCATGAAATTATGCATGAATTGTGCTTAAGCGCCTCATTAGTGATGCCCTTATAGGAAATAGTAGCTCAAAAGCGACATTTTTGATTGATCTGCAAGAAATTCTTATAGATCGGACACTTCAATATTCTGCTTATTAAGAAAATTTATTTTATCAGATATATGCATAGATTTTTGTCTTTACCATTTGTTCCACAGAGAACAATTTGGTTGGCACTTGAGAGAGCGTGATATTCTACAATCCATATGGCGGGGTGCCAATCATGATCCTTAAACAATACTTGGATATTGCCATGCACTGCAGGGACATCAGCAGGCGTGGGTTTTGCTATCCCTTCATCAACAGTACTTAAAATCATTCCTCAATTAATCCAGTCTGGGAAAGTGAGTTATTGTGGAACTTCTATATTGTCCCTTTTCTTAATTATTTATTCCTAATCTTTAATGTGGATCACTGTTACTTTCTCATTTGGTTTGGTTCTGACTCTAAAAGCAAGGTTTAGTCACACTATATGGCCACTTTTTGCTTAGGAATGTGCAAGACAACTGGTTCAGTCACTAATGAATGTTTGGATCTAAGATCTTCTTCTGTTTACTTTCTTTCCAGGTTGTTCGTGCTGGTTTCAACATTGAAATTGCTCCAGACCCAATAGCTAATCAATTAAATGTGCGAAACGGAGCCCTTGTTCTACAAGTAAGCATTCTTTGTCAAAATCTTCTTGGAACTGGTATACCTGAAAAATGTGATATGGCAAATTTGAGATATATCTAGATATACTTCTCTTAAGCTTACCTCATTTTCCTTGTTAAGTATGCAAATCTTGTTCTTACATTTGCAAACTCTCTCTCTCTCTCTCTCTTTCACACACACACGTCATCATCATCATTATTTTAGCCTTTTCTCAATTATTTGGGGTCGGCCACATAAATCTTGGTTCTTCGTTCTGCTCTATTAAAGGCCACACACACACACAAAAACACACACAGAGACACATAGAACCAAGGAACCTAGCCACTTCTTGTTTTTCACCCTGTTTTGTGGTTTAATATTTAGGTTCTTGAGAACAGTGTTGCTGCTCGAGCAGGATTGCTTCCTACAAAGAGAGGATTTGCAGGCAACATAATTCTCGGGGACATCATCATAAGCATTGACAACCGACCGGTATGCCTCTCACTCTCTCTTTTTTTTTTTGAGTTAAGATTTGTTGGCATGCTGCTATATTGATCTATTGCATATGATGAGCAGATTAAAAGCAAAGCTGAGTTGTCCAAGGTCTTGGATGATTACAGTGTTGGGGACACGGTGATGGTAAAGATTAAGAGGATGAATGAAGAAATAGTGCTGCCTCTAGTTTTGGAGGAGAGTGTTTCTTGACAAATTGCAAAAACTCTCTCTCTCTCTCACACACACACACATTTTAGTGCTGCTTCTAGTTTTGGAGGAGAGTGCTTCTTGACAAATTATGAGAACTCTCTCTCTCTCTCTCACACACACATATATATGGACTCTTGGGCATGGCCTAATTTACCCGATCTGGTTGTGGTACTCAGTCTGTATCCCTTGTTCTGGTTGAAGGGGCTGTACTTTGTTAACTGAGTCTCTGAAATTTTGCTAAAAATGATTAAAATTTCAGAAAGTGATAGTTATATTAATGATTAACTGCTTATTGATTTTGAGGATTGTTTCCTTAATTTCCCATGACTGACTCTGTTGTTGTTTAATTCACTTCATTCAAGCCAAACAACTTTCTTTGTCTATGTCAACCAATTTCTATACAATATTTGAGTTTTAAATTTTTTTTATATAAAATACTAGCAAATGAATGATATCTCCATTGGGAAAATATGTTGTACTTTGATCCAGCAGAGTGTTCAGTAATCGGATCCAACATCCACTGCATGTAGTTATCCCTGAATGGTGGGAGATGAGTTTTAATCGTGCTCTTGTTTAAAGCCAGATGATTACTCATCTGCACCATAAGCAAGGATGGGCAGTGGATGTTGGGTATGAGTGTCTACTACACTCGAAGCATGCGGTCTTATTTCTGTAACCCATGACTATAGTTTCATAATTTGCTCTTTGGATAATTGAATTCCATCCTATTATGGGTATTGATGGGTATAAACCTTGGTATTTGTTACAATTTGGTGCTCAACTAGTTGGTTTGGTGCTCATCTAGTTTCAAGGTAATTTATCATAATACATCTAAGATATTGAACTATCTAACATTTTAAGTATTTATTTTGGTTTAATTTCAAATATCCCATCAAAATACATAGTTGCAAATCTGTAAGATGCTGAATAGGGATAAGTGTATTTTCGATAATTTTTCTTTAGTTTTATAACTGAAATTTATTTAGTTACAGAATAGTATCTAAATAATATATTATTGTAAAAATCCGTAAAATTTAATATAATGAAGAAGGGAAAAATTAGATAGAGCACTAGATTTACAAATGTGGGAGATTAGTGGGAGCTAAGTGAGAGTATTTTGGTAATTTAATATATTTAAGTCACTTGAGCCAAATACTTTAAATACACACATGCTTGCTATGGGTTCCAAACTTGAAACATATTTTATTAAAAAAATTGTTTGAGCTTTGAAACTAAGAACAAGCCGGGGTATTTTGATAATTTGGCCTCATTTAAATTATGCGAGTCAAAAAACATAAATACCTTTGATTGTTATGGATTATCGGAAGATAACTTTTTTTTAATGAGAGGACATGTTTTGAGTTTTGAACCCGGTTTATATAGGTCAATTGGTTCATCTAACTCAGTTGCCAAGCCCTCAATTGTTTAGTTTCCAAAGTTGAAATGTAGGTAGTTTAGGTATTGGTAACTAAATAGTTAGGAAAGTAAGTGAATGAAATGAAGAAAAAAATTGAAGAAAGAAACCCATGCTTGGCGAAGGTGAAGTTCATAGATAGAACAATACCTTGTGTCAAGCCTTCACGATTGATGCAGCCTCGGAGGCTTCAATTGTTGATTCTAGTATTGAGCGAAAGGTTACGCCTATAGATTCTTTACTGTAGGTCAATCGGCATGGGGAAGAAGCACTACACCTAGAAATCAATAGCATAATAACTTTGTTATAAATTATCCATTTTTTTTATTTGCTCTATTGGGATTGGGACTAGCAAAAATGGTTGGGACAACAAACATCCATCTTGTTCGTACCAACTTCAATTGTTTTAGGTTCCAAACTTGAAATGTAGGCACTTTAGGCATTGGTAACTAAATAGTTGGGAAAGTAAGTGAATGAAATGAAGTTTTACAAGTAGGCAATATGTGAAATTTGTTTCTCTAACCATCATTGTTAATAAGCTATGAAGTAAAGAAAAATGCACTTTAAAAAGTTTTGAAATTTACATCCAAAGTTCCAGTGAGGTATTTTGCTTCCAAAATTTTGAAATTCCAAACAAAAAAATCCTCTTTCCCAGTCCAACCCCAAAATATACAACTACCTAAAGAAAAACTATATAATAAGACTTATTATTATTTATTACAAATTCATAATCATCCGTAGCCCCTAGGTACGAGATTGAGATTGGGTGGGTGAAAGTGTGCTTACAATTTACGGACTGGTCGTGGCATTAGTGCTTTTATTTTCGAGTCTTTTCGTTTAATTTAAAAAATACATAATATATCTATTACCCTAGCGTTGCCACTTCTTCGAATTATGTCAATATTTTACTCCTTCGGTAAGAACTAATTCGAGGAATCAGCAGATCTATCCATTATCTTCCTTCCTGCTCTTAATCCAATGGAAACAATTGATCGGAATGTTGCAACGCTCTCATAATTAAATACAATTTTTGTGACACTTTGTAACATAAATGTAGGCGCCATATTTCCCATCCGAAGAACAAGAATTACTATGATTTATTGCATGAGCAAATATATGGGAAGAAAGAACGTCATAATTTCTCCTAGTTACGGCATGGGGTGTGTGACGAATGATGCTCGAAAAATTTATTTTTTGAACTTTGAATTTAGTGAACGACATATATTCACAATCACTCGATTTGAAATCCGACGGACATAATTATGCTATTTTATTTAATACATGGCAAAAAATTTTGTTTACTTTTCATTTGTAATGTACATTAAATTTTATCATAACAGGTAATTTTTGTATAATTTTTTTTTTCAAAAGTAACTTAAAAATTTATTTTTACTTTTAATAATAAAATTTTAAACTTTAAAATTAGTTCAAATAGATTAATAGCCATTAAAATGATAATCTAGATAATATATTGCAAGATTCACTATTTTTTAGATTCGAAATATTCAACGTACACCTTAACTCTTCATTTCAAGGTTGCAACCTTATATGGTATTTTCCTAATAATGAATAGAAATCAAAACAACGAAAACTCTCTCTACGCGCCAGACGAATGTTTCGTCTCCCTCTTTTCACAGACGCGAGTTTCGCATTCTCTCTGTGCATTTGGAGCTTTGATTCAACGGAGAACGACTCGATGGCTAGTGATTCACCCAATAGCTCAACCGATTCATTGCAATGTGGGCACAAAGGCGAGTCTTCCATTGCAGGCAGTTGCTCCTCTGTAATCTATATCCAGCACTAAAAATGTGTTTTTTTTCCTTCTCCTTTCTCCATTCAAAGGCCTTTTTCCTGTCAATCTTAGCTACAAACTGCAAGGAGCAGTCACTTCTGGAGCTCCGAATGGCGGTAAAGTTTTTCTGTGAACTGAGATGCCTTTCTCAAGCGTTACTAGAGTAAATTTTGTTGGGTTTGTTCAAGGAAACATCAATGAAACCACGCTATGTTCATTTTATTCTTCCAAAGGTGACGGGTCTGTGTATTTTTCGACGATTGGTTTAGTTTAATAAGGCTTTACTGCGTTACTTTTGTTTGGTTTTGTTAGAGAAACCATTTTTGAAAAAAGAGGATGTTCAGTTTATTCTTTAAGAGAAAATGGGTCCGTGTATATTCCAGTAATTGGTCTAGTTTTAATAGGTTTTGGGCCTTCATCCCATTTTACTGTTATGGGATGAAGCCCACTTTGCTCCCTAAACATGTGGCTGTTGTTGTTAAATACCAGAGAGACCCTCTCAGAGCTCTTGAAATGTTCAATTCAGTTAAGAAAGAAGATGGGTTTACTCATACATTGTTAACTTATAAGTGTATGATAGAAAAACTTGGTTTTCATCGAGAATTTGAAGCCATGGAAAATCTTCTGCAGGAGATGAGATTGAATGTTCCTTCAAATTTTTTAGAAGGGGTTTACATTAATGTTATGCGATACTATGGAAAGGCTGGGAAGATCCAAGAGGCAGTGAACACATTCGAAAGAATGGATTTTTTCGATTGTGAACCCTCTGTTGGATCTTATAACACAATTATGAACATTTTGATTGAGAATAAGTATTATGACCAAGCCCATAAAGTGTACTTACGAACGATAGATAAGGGGATCTCCCCTGATGTGTATACTTATACAATTAGGATTAAATCCTTTTGTAAAACAAAAAGGCTTCATGCCGCTCTTAGGCTTCTAAGAAACATGCCCGAATTCGGTTGCAAATTGAATGCAGTGGCATATTGTACCGTAGTTGGTGGTTTATATGAAGAGAGTTCTTGTGTTGAAGCCAGTAAATTGTTTGATGAGATGCTCAAGCAAGAGATATATCCTGATATAGCTACATTTAACAAGCTTTTATTTTCCCTGTGCAAGAATGGTGAGGTTCAAGAAAGTGGTAAGCTCCTTAACAAGATGTTAAAGAGGGGGATCTCTCCTAATCTCTATACTTTCAATATGTTCATTAGGGGCCTTTGCCAAGAAGGGAAACTATTGGAGGCTGCCCATTTATTTGATCTTATGGAATTAAAGGGATTGAATCCTGATGTTGTTTCTTACAACACACTGATAAGTGGGTTGTGCAAGGCCTGTCAAGTTGTGGAAGCTGAGACTTATATTCATAAAATGGTTGAGGCAGGATTGGTCCCTAATGATTTCTCATATAACACTGTTATTGATGGGTATTGTCGAATATGCATGATTGAAAATGCTTCTAGGCTTCTTAGAGATGCAGTTTTTAAAGGTTTCGTCCCTGATCGAATCACATATGCTTCTCTGATAAATGGGCTATGCGAGGAAGGTGACCTGAAGAGAGCTATGGAACTTTTTAACCAGGCTTCTGATAAAGGATTGAAACCTGATATCATAACATATAATACACTTGTTAAGGGCCTCACAAGGCAAGGCCTTATAATGGAGGCGGCTAAGTTGGTGAACGAAATGTTAGGTGGTGGTTGCAAGCCAAACATGTGGACTTATAACATAATTATTAATGGGTTATGCAAAAGGGGAAAGGTCATTGATGCCCATGGCCTCATGAATGATGCTATAATGGAGGGTTTTATTCCTGATGCTTTTACCTTCAACACACTGATCGATGGTTACTGTAAGAGTTTAAACTTGGATAAAGCGTTGGAGATTGTAGAGAGAATGTGGACCCATGATGTAGCTCCTGATGTAATCACTTATAATTCAATGTTGAATGGCCTTTGCAAGGCTGGTAAAATGAATGAGGTAATGGAAACATACAAGGGAATGCTGGCAAAAGGTTGTGTTCCTAATGTTATCACCTATAATATATTGATAGAGAGCCTTTCTAAGGGGCATAGAGTCAAAGAAGCTTCTGACCTCCTTGAAAAGATGGGAAATGATGGGCTAACCCCTGATGTTGTTAGTTTTAGCACTTTAATTCATGGCCTTTGTGGAAATGGTGATCTCGAAGAGGCCTATCAGCTATTGGGGAAGATGGAACAGGTTAAAGTCACACCCACTGTTGCCACATTTAACATCCTGATCAATGCATTTTGTGAGAAGCTCAAGGTTCAGATGGGGGAAAGGATCTTTCACGAGATGGTTGACAAAGGTCTCCAACCTGATTCTTTCACATATCGTGTTCTTATTGAAGGCTTTGTTAAGACTGGAAATGTTGATTGGGCTTATAGATTCCTTCTGGCGATGATTGATATGGGTCTTTTGCCATATATGAGTACATTTGGACAAGTAATTGACTGCCTCTGCATAAACCATAGAGGCCCTGATGCTGTTAATATTATCCGCATCATGGTGAAGAAGGAGATAGTTCCAGATGTTGTGAATTCAATTTTTAAGGTTGATAAGAAGGAGGTGGCAGCGCCCAAGATCCTTGTTGAGGAAATGCTAAAGAGGGGGCATATAACTTATCATTCTTATGAACTTCTATATGATGGTATTAGAGATAAAAAGCAATTGAAAATGAGGCAGAATAAGAAGCGTGCCCATTAGCCCACTAAGTGAAATGTCAATTGATTGTTTTAAGGAGCTAATGCAGATGCAATGCTGATTTGGTTCCCCTCTAAAGGTAAACCAGTTCTTCTTAAGACATGGTCTATGGTCGGTTGACACACACACACTTTTCCGCTGAGAGCCTCACATGCGTTTTTTTTTTTCTCTTGAATCACACAATGAATCTCAGAGTCTCACTTTGTGGATCTCCAATTTCCTTTTCAGGCGCCAACCAACAATATGCTTTAGACTGATTTATGGATAGAAATCTGGCTAAATGGTAAGCTCTCTTGAGTATACTTGTGGAATTGTTTTTAGTTCCAGGTCATATATTTATGTGCTTTTTGCCTCTTTTTCAATGATGAGCATAGCGGTTTCACTATATTTATAGACATCGTCATAATTTTTCAAAATGTTAGGAATTGATGAACATGCTTACTGTTTTGATGCAACTTGTGTATTTGAGTGCATTTAACTTTTAGTGACACTAGAACTTTATTGCAAGCACTGAGACTAAAATTAATTTGTCCTTAACTGTGAGGATTTAATAGTGATAGTGGCTGTTCATTCAACCCATACCCTGTCACGGAGATCAAATGGTTTTTGAATTTTGCTGCAAGAGGAAAGATGTTCTAAGTCATATTCAAATGCACGAATACAGATTTCGCTAATTGTACAATCGCATTCTACATGAATCTTGATATTCTTTTCAAAGAGGTAAAGGAAAAAAGTGAAATCTCTGACAAACTAAACCAATCTGGCCTTTTACATCAGTCTTGGGTTATGCAGAAAGGTCATCATCAGGATCAATCCCTGAAAGCTCGAATCTGTTGGTTTTTCGTGCTTTCTTCTTCATCAATATCCTTTATAGGAAACATAGAGTCAATCTTGAAGGTTTTATTGTTTTACTTCATAGGAGAGACAAATCTCACATAGACAGTCACTCATCACGTTTTCATTGGTCAAACAAGCAACCTTTTTAGATGTAAACGTTCTCTTGGTTCATTAGCCTTCTTGTTTTGATTGGTTCACAAGCAGGATGATAATTGCAAGCAAGTTTGTCTACTTTTGGCCTTAACCTCCAAGGTACTACTCAGGTTCGAACTCTCTTGCACTAGTTTTGCATTACATTTAAGAGTTCTTGTTGCATTTGTTCAAGTACACAAAAATTCCATTTTCTGTTGTACTAAATCTGAAAGAGAAATTTAATATGGCTACATTGATGTTCTTCCTTTTTATTTTAGTATTGTATAGGATTAAATATTATCTTCTCCTTGTGATAAGTGGATTGTTGTAGTTTTTGTGTTGAGATCAAGATTCAGAATTTTTATCTTTTTACTTAGTGGATTGGCTGATTTATGTGTATGTGGAGCTCTCAAAGAGTTTGTTAACAATACTAGGTCACTAATGCACATTTTTTTTAGGGAAATTTTATTTAAAAAAGCACATAACATTTTACGAATATATTTTGATTTAATTTCAAAATACCCATCAAAATACCTATGACCATGAGATTGAGTACTTGAGAAAGGGTAAATTGTTAAATTGTTGAAAGGTATATATTGATAAATGTCCCCCTTTTTTTTTATTATTATCTTGTGTCTAATATGTCCTTTGCTTGGATATTGTTAAAATGGTATTTTTCATTCATACAACAAAAGAGATGTATTAGTATTGTATTGAGTTTGTGATGTGGTTTTTGCATTGACAGCCCATGCCCTAGGTGATCCTTCCGTGACAATTGAAGATGTTATTCCACCTGTTTTTCCTTCTGGACAACTATTCCCTTTTGATGTTTAACGTGATAAAATTGAATATTTTACTTGGTTCTACCATTGTAGAAAGTAAACAAATTTTAGTTATTTTTGCAGCAAGGATCGTTTTGGCTTTCGAGTGGAATACTTATTCTGTTGTCAATATGTGACATAGCGTCCTCAGATGAATATAACCGGCAATGTTGAGGTATATATAAGAGCCATTAGCTCTTGTTATATGGAATTTTTGTTGTCTTTGCTCCATTATTCTTAACATCGTGGTGCTATTTTCTTTCTAATTAGTATTTAGTAGCCAATAATTCGTCAAGGAAAATGAGCACATCTAGTTGATCTCAATAACACTTACAAACAGAGGAATATGCAGGGAAAGAGAAGATAAGAGTGACCATGATTGAAGAGGGGAAGCAAAGAGAGAGACCTTAGGTTACTGATTCCCCAAGTATTGGAGAGCTAATATCCCTTCCCTCCTCAGCCAATCTATCTTCCTTATTTTTTACTTCTCTATAGAGAGGGCAGAAAGAGCTTTCTTTCACTATTCCCTTCAAACTGATTATATATTCTCCTGCAAACCTTTTTTTCCCCCTCTTTTTTTGTTTTTTTTATGGTGTCAAAGTGTGCTATTATAGTATCCTTAGTTTGGGGAGCATTTATGAATACCAATCTGTGACTACAATCTAGGTTCCTGAAGGAAATGGTTTTTGGAGTGATATGGGATGGACGGGGATTTGTATTTTTTGCCAGTCGTGAGTAAGGCTCTTTCAAGGAATCGTAGTCTTGGTCAAGTAGTTGCTCGTGCTAATATCCTAGCATCTGAAGGGCGAGTGATAATAACACAATTTAAATAGGATACTGGTTTGTCTCTATTTTGTATATGTAATTTCTTGAATCTTACCTATCAGTGGTCTTGAGTCATATTTTCTTCATGGACTTCAAAACAAACTTAGAACTTTGAAAGGATGCTCTAGAATCTAAAGGTTTTAAAATTAGTCGAACTAAAACAGAGCATATGGAATGCAATAGTTGACGGACAGGAAATACTAAAAGAAACGCACTTTCGATATCTTGGGTTGATAATCCAGGAAAATAGGGAGATTGGGGAGCATGTTATACATAGAATTAGAGCTGGGTGGGCGAAGTAGAGATGTGCAAGTGGAATTTTATGTGATCCCCGCATACCAATGAAGCTGAAGGGCAAGTTCTATATGTCAACTATGAGACCAACTTTGCTCTATGGGGCAGAATGTTGGGTGGTCAAAAACAATATACCCATATAATGAGTGTAGCGGAGATGGTGATGTTGATATGGATGAGTGGAAAGACAAGAAGCAATAGAATTCAAAATGAATGCATTTGGGAAAAATTTAAGTGCGACACCAATAGGCAATAAGATAAGAGAGAGTAGACTCAGGTGGGCTGGCCATGTGTGGCTCATACCCAGTACAACACCTGTTAGGAGGTGCGAGTTAATTCAAGTGGAAGGTTCAAAAGGGCAAGGGGTAGGCTTAAAAGGATATGGTTGGAAGTAGTGAGAAAATATATGGGGACTTATGGCTTCATGAAGGGTATGACCCTTAATGGAGCAGAATGGACCCCAATTAGTTAGGAAAAGACTTTGATGATGATGATGATGGCTTCATTTCTTGAAGCTGCAAAAGAATTATGAGGGCAAGTTGGTTGGTGCTTACTGTGCTAGGGATCTTGCTGTCTTGAAGGTAGAATTTTCTTCTTCTAGCTGTTCAATGCGAGAATATAAGATAACTTATTCATTCTTTACAACACTCTATGGTATGTTTGGGCTATTTCTTTGTAAATTGAAAGGAGAATGGCTCCAGTCTTCTAATTTCACAGAAAAATCTTTAATTAACTTTTCTAAGAGTCTCATTGGTGACTCTTTTTGTTTTTTACAGTTAGATTGGTCCTTTGCTGCATCAAAACATGATTCTCTATTCTTTAATCCAATAAGGTGGATTCCCCTACTGATCTTTTGAAGCCCATTAAAGTGGGGAAGTCATCTGGTTTGAGAGCAGGGCAACAATGTTTAGCCATCGGAAAGCCATTTGGTTTTGACCACACTTGACAGTGGGGGTTATAACTGGATTAAATTGAGAAATTTTTGGTCAAACTGGAGTTACAATTGGCTGTGGTATTTAGACTGATGCAGCCATCAATCCAGGAAGCAGGTGCATATGATGGCTCTGCTCTTTGAACTATGAATCTATGATCAATGTTATTTTAATTCACTTTTTATTTAGTGCAAATCTTGTATCTGGGAGTCATATTTTTATTTTATTTTATTCCTTTTTCTTAATTTCAACTTGGGACCTAGTGAGAATGGAACTCTAGACATCACCTTTTGGCACCCGCCACCTTGACCACCTTTGCCTAGAGCCTTTATGAGCAAAAGCTTGTATACAATAAAACTCAGTAATGAAACTAAAAGGGTCTGGGATTAATGTATATCTGCTACATGTTAGACTCCCCAGACAAAAGAGCTAATGTATCGCATGGAGTGGCCTTGAACAATTTGAAATGGTAAAAATCAGTGGCACACTTGACTTTTTAAATCCCGCGTGCTCGAAATGACGAAAAAGCCATTGCACATTCTCTCTAATAGCTGACTTTGCTTGAGTTATTCTACCATTGGAATCTCTTTTATGGAATGCATTTAGTTGACTTGTTCGAAGTTAAATTCAACATTGATCATGAACTATTTGCTTTGAATTCTCATAATATTTGCATTGGTTATGAGCCAATCAGCCAACTACAATGAAGAAGCTTAAGAATATGCCGTTGCTTGTTATGCTGTTATGCTAGGATTCCTCATTCTTAACTGAAATCTGATTGAGATTGTGTATTGTTAGTTGATGGTAGTTGTGGTCCCTTGCTAGACTCCAGAGGAAACATGGTTGGGATTAAGACAGCAATATTTACTCAGACAGGTGAATCTAATTGGTTTCTTTTTCTTTTATGGATAAATAAACAATCTTTTTTTTAGTTTAGAGATGTCATTTTCTGTTATTTGGCTGTTTGATTTAGTACAGTATGGAGCGGTCATTGAATGAGGGACTTGTTCTTGGGAATATTATACCATGCATGGTATTTCCAAATAACATTCAATTTTAGTGACCCTAAAAGAAATGCATGCATGAAATTCATATGTACTTCGAAGTAAAAGGAGTAATTCATGGAAGCACGAAACTTTTGCATGAATTGTGCCGCACTTCATGAATGATGCCTTATAGGAAATAGGAGCATAAAAGTAACATTTTTGATTGATCTGTAAGCAATTCTCATAGTTTGGACCCTTAGGTATTCTGCTTATTATGAAAATTTATTTCGTCAAATATATGCGCTAAGCAGTATTTCAAAAAGCGCTAGGCGGCACCTAGACGGTCGGGGGTTTCAGGCCGCCCAACGCCTAGGTGGGAGCCCAGAACTTGGGCGGCCCAGTAGATTTTTTTTTTTTGGGTTTTCTTTCCCTAAAATAGCCTCTAATGGGTTTTAAATTTCAAATGAACTGAAAACCCACAATTTTGCCCTTTCGTATTAAAAAAATTATCCGAAAATACCCTCAAGGAGCCGCATTTCAGCCCTTGGGCAGGGCGCAGGCCCTGGGCGGCCGCCTAGCGTAGGGCTCTCGAGAACCTTTCGTTTGCGGAACCGAAAATCTCAAATACCGAGATCCCACCCAAGATCGTGGCTAAATGCAAAGTAGATGAATACAACTATAAATCGAGTGCGAGAAACAAAGAAAACTTAAAAATCACACCACCACAACACAGGATTTACGTGGTTCACCCCGTAAGGCTACATCCACGACCTCGGCAACTAAAAATCCACTATCACAATGAAGATTACAGTTTTGGGTTAGAAGAGATAATATCTATCTCTAAACATCGGTAAAAGACCATTACCGATCTTCCCTTCTAAATCCGCTCTCTAGATCGAGCCATACCTTCGATCAATATCTTCTTTCCCACCGCAATATCATACCACTACCGGAAAGATAAAATCGACAGCAATCGAGAGGATTTCTCTCTCTAGAAGTGAAATTTAATCAACCCAAAATTCATAGGAATACCACCTCTCTCTCGGAGGCCATGTCTCTCTCTTGAAGACCCATCTCCATATTGGAGATCCATCCTCATAACCCCCTAAGAGGTGAACCTTAAAGGATGGGTATTATGTCCTCTTTCACTCTCTTATAAAGATATCACTTTCTTGCTTCTCAAGAAAATTCATTTTTTATTTCTATAATATCCTTAATCTTTAAAAGAAAATATGGGTATAGTGATTTGGCTATCACTAAATCCAACACCTAGGCTGGTTCAGGCAGGTGCCCAGGGATATCCGCCTAGGGGGCCGCCTAGGTGCTGAGCGGTTTGCTTTTTGAAACAGTGGCTGTAAGACCAGCCATGCTTTATGGGACAAAATATTGGGTGGTCATGAGACAACATATCTATAGGATGAGCATCGTTGAGATGAGGATGTTGAGTGGCAAGACAAGATAGGATAAAATTCGTAATGAATACATACGAGAGTATGTTGTTGTAGCTTTAATAGGCGATAGGATGAGGGAAAGTAGACTTAGGTTGGCTAGCTATAAGCAATGTAGACCTAATGCAGAACCGGTTAGGAGCATAGATTTGCTTCAAGTGAAAGGCTCTAAAAAGGTAAGGAAAAGCCCAAAAGGACATAGATAGAAGTAGTGAGAAAATATAAGGTGCTTTTTGTCTTACTGAGGGTATGACCCTTGATAGAGAAGAATAGAGGAACATGATTCATGTAGCCGACCTTGATGATGGTGATGACATGCATAGAAAGTTTTCGAATGAGATACTAGAATGAGAATATTAGGTTGGCTTTACCATTTGTTCCACAGAGAGCAATTTGGTTTGGCACTTGAGAGAGCGTGATATTTTAAATCCATACGAGGAGGAACCAATCACAATCCTAAATAGTAATCAGGCTTTGTCAAAGTCTTCTTGGAACTAGTATACCTGAAAATCTGATGTGGTAAATTTGAGATATGTCTGGATAGACTTAAGTTTACTTCACTTTTGTTCTAGTTCTTACATTTGCCAACAATGCTCTCTCTCTCTCTCTCTCTTGCACACACACACATACAGATAGAACCACAGAAGCTAGCTGCTCTTGTTCCTCACCATTCTTGAATAGGTTCGGTCTTTGTTTTTGGGTTCCACGGTTCAGGATATACTTGATCTACTTCGTGGGAGGGAGGATTTCATCCCCTGATCCTTCGTTCTTGGAGGCAAGGCCAACTCAATGAAAGGCCGGGGGGGGGGTCCTCCTGGTCATTTCACCGTAGAGTTCAGGAAGTTCATTTCTTGCTCACCGAAATCCTTCATTTCATACCAATTCGTAAAGCATTCCCTTCGCGATAGAAACTTGTGTAGCTTAACGACTGAAGTCTTAGTAGACTCAAACCAGTACTTTTGCCATCTCTTCCATTTTCTGTTGATGTCTGTCATGTACTCAAATTGGATTAGTGAACAATTTGTAGGTTTCGTCGTAAACCTAATTGGTTACATCCAATGACATCAATCACTTCCCTGTTAATTACCACAAAAGAAAAAAGGGTTCCTTTGTTTTGATGGTCTTTGATTCCAAAGAGTAATTTGATTTAATATTTAGGTTCCGAAGAACAGTGTTGCTGCTCAAGCAGGATTGCTTCCTAAGAAGAGAGGATTTGCAGGTAATGTAATCCTTGGAGACCTCATCATTGGAATCGACAACCGACCAGTCTCTCTCTCTCTCTCTCTTATTTTGTCTTGTTTGAATTGAGATTTGTTGGCATGCTGCTGTATTGATCTATTGCATGTAATGAGCAGATGCAAGCAAAGCTGAGTTGTCAAAGGTCTTGGAGGGACAAAGTGATGGTAAAGATAAAGAGGATGAATGAAGAATTATTTCTGCTTCTAGTTTTAGAAGAGAGGCCTAATTTATCCCAGCCAGTTGTGGAAGTACTCAGGAGGCGTCCATGCTTCTCTGGCTGAAAAAACTGTGTTTGTTACCTGGATTTCTGAAATTTGGGGCTAAAAATGGATAAAATTTCATAGTGATGGTTTGGTGTTAAAACTCTCTTATTGATTTTTTTATCAATGATTATCTGCTCATCAATGTTGAAGATATTTCCTTTATTTCCTATAATTGAGTCTACAGTGTTTTGGTTCAACCAAAGCCAAAACAATCTTTGTTCAGCTGCGTTGGCATGTTTTTAGACAATATTTCAGATTTTTTTCATTTTTTATTTTTAAAATACTTGCAAATGAATGTTATTTCCATTGGGAAAATATGTTGTACTTTGGACCAGCAAATGAGTGATATTTTCATTTTTTATTTTTGGTTTCCCCCCCTAAAAAAAATGTATAGCCTTTTTGGCAATGTACATACTTAGGCGAGTCCGAGTGGACTTGCCCGAGTAACCCGTCTCGGGCCAGAGCTAAGTCTGAGGCCTGCGCTGAGTTTCAGAACATTACTTTTGACACCAAGCAGGGTTTGTTGCATATGGTCATCCTCCACTAGAAATAACTACCTCTTTTAGACAAGTGAACCAAAAGATGGTCTTATATGTCTTTAAGCAACAGCCATTTCACTAATATTTTTCGAACCCAGTGGCAATTCCATTATTTATGACTTGTGAACGGATTAGAAATGAAAGGCACATGAGAAGCCATATGTCTTTTGGTTCCTTGAGTTATTTCCCGGAAAACCATGTCCGAGAACTTGTTGATGGCTTAAAGGTCGCTGGAAATTGGTTTGCTTTCTTTTGCAGGGGCAAAGGCACAGGTGTTTCCAGAGGACTATCAGAACACTATGTCCTATTGATTGTCATCATATGGATGGACAGTGATCGAAAGATAGTGGGTTCCACAGGACATAGAATGACTGCAATAGTGGGTTTCACTGTCTCTCCATGGTCATCCATCCATTGTTTAGATGGTGATAACCTGGTGGACTGTGATTCTCTGCATAGTTTGTGGGTTTTGATGTGATTTCCCTTTTTCATTTTTTGAATCCGGTGGCTTCACATTCTCTTCTCTTATAAATCCACGCTTTAGATTTGACTCTAAAGTGCTCACCTTTGTGTTAAATTGCTTTTGGAGTTGTGAGGAGATCCCTGGTGGTGGATGGCCTTAATAATTAGCCACAGGTTTTCTTAGGAAAGGATCAATGTTCTGAGATTTCGCACCAAATAGAGCTTGGTTTCTACCCATGGTTAGGAAAAGTAATTTTTGGGTGGATAAGGGCTTCAACGGCCTCAAATTCAATGGCCTCAGTGTGTTAAAAACCTGATCGGCTGGGTGAACTTGCCTTTTGGAAATTTAGTCCTAATCGGCAAACTAACTGTTCAGATCAGTAGTCTGGAGCGATTCTCCGGTGTGAGCCAATTCTCCGGTGTGAGAATTGGTCCCAAAAAAATAAAAGGAGTCCGAACTGGGTGATTTGGACAATCCGGATTAACCAGCTCCTTGACAGACTCAGCTTGATTTTTTGAAGGAGCCATGGGAGCCCATCGAAGTCCCTGTTAGTCCCTACCAATTCTCAACTTTGATCACCGAATTTGAATCACTGACATTTGAATAAATGTAATGAGACTATTTTTAACAAGAAAATTGCAATGTTATCGCATTTCAGGTCAGATGAGCTTTAATTGCATGTTTAAGAATGGAAACATGAAATCTGCACTGAAAATTGTATTTGCAACTTAAAGAAAATGCAAAAACGAATAATTGCAATCCCCCAAATGCTGAGAAGGTGACTCTCTTAAAGGAAATTCCAGTAATATAACTTTTTGGGGGCAGTTGAGATAAAATTGCTTTTCTTAATTTGTCACATATGAAAAGTGATCTAAAAATTAGAGGGAAAATTACAAAAACCCCATCACTTAACTTTCTTTGCCGTTTCCCCCAGCCAAATTTTTCTCACAAGTTTTACCCCCCAAAAACCTTTTATAGCAAATCATAAAAAAAATTCGAAAAAATCAAAATACCCCCCAAAGTTAAAATCTTCTTCCTCTTCTTTCGACCCACAATCTTTTTTTAATGCTGTCCGGCAAAATTGGAATGTGGTCTGGAACTTTGTAACATAGGTCCTGTACTTGACATTAGCGGTCTGCCAATTGTTCTAGGATCAAACAATATTGGAAAGTCGTCTGGCACTTTGTAAGCTCAGTCCGGCAGCTTGTGAGGGTGGTCCGGCATTTGTGGTCTGCCAATTTTTAGCCCTGGTCTGGCGGTGATGTTTTGGGGTCCGGCAATCATGTTGTGCAGTCCGACAATTAGTGCAATTTTGGCTTTTTGAACAGTCCACATCAATATTTGACATGCATAAAAAAGGGTATGTTTGTCTAAAAAATTGATTTTTTGACTTGAGAGATATTTGTTAGAAAAAAAATTTTGAGCTACAAATTATGAAAAAATGTTTGGTTGGGAGAAGACAGTAAAAAAAACATGATTTTTTTTTTTTTGTAATTTTCATAAATTATAGCATATCATCATCATTTGAACTTTATCCCAAAAAAAATAGAGAAAAAAAAAAAAGGTTTGTATTAAACCATTCACCACCAACACACTATTTCATGCATGGCGCGCCATAATCCATTCTATAAGCTCCCCTAAACCGACCTTTAATGAAGCACAAAATGATTACAGGCTTGGTGCATGCATAGAAGAGAAAAAAATCTTTTACCAGGCTGACCAATGTCTAGGTCCCATACACATAAATTAGATGGGTTATCATTGACAATCAACCAATTTTTTATTAAATGATTGATAATAACAATAAATATAATTAAATATTAAATACAGACTGACAAGAACAGTTGATGCTAATCTATGATACTGTTGTTAGTTTATTAACAAACAAAAGATCAAGATCAAACCATTGCTAGTTCCCCAACATCAGCTCATTATTATCCATTTGATCAAATATCATGTAACTATCATTTCTCAAATGCATAAGTTATAGGTGAGGTTTTCATAAGGTTCCTCCTTGTACTATAGAAGACAAGTCTAAATTTTGTTTGGAGATCTAGTTTATATGTTAGAAACCTCATGATAGCTTGAAATCTATTTTTATCTTCAATTGTAAAATTTAAAATTTTAAAAATGATACAAATTGAGTAGATCAATCATCATGAAAATAAAGGTTAGATAATTTGCTACAGGATGTGCAAATTTTAGGACTTGAATTTTTTTTTTTGATATCTATACATTTTGAGGACGAGACAATCAAATTGGAGAGTTTTTCACAATCAAATTGGAGAGTTTTTCGCTATCAAAATACTATCTTCCATAGAATTTTTAACATAAATTGTATACAATGAGACCATACAATCATCCGATGTGAAATTTGATAGCTTGGATGTATCACAAAGTTCAAATTTTTTTTTTTTTGAACTTTGAGCTTGGTCAATGAAATAAATTCAATCACCTAATCTCATATCCAATAGTCAAGATTAATTGTGACCACCTTGTAGAAGGTAAATGGTCTCATCCTATACTTTCCCTTGTTAAAATGCATCTTGAATGTTCACACTTTATATAAACTCTTTCTTAAATTATATATGTATATATAGCAGATAATATAAAATTTCCACTTATTTGCCTCCCTAACTCATATAAAGGTCTTGTTAATTTTGCCAGACTCCTCGTCTCTCGTCTCTCTCTCTCGTTACTCAAATTCCTTCTGTCGCTCGTCTGTTTTTCGGTTTCATCGCTATTCACTTTTGAAAACTGTGCAGCGAAATTCTGGGCTTTCTGCGGTTTTATAACGAAAAGTTGCCGGTATATCGTACAAATACCAGGCAACAAAAATTTCAGGAATCGTCTCTTTCTCCCTTGCCATGCCACCTTATCTTGTTTGTCCTATCACTGAAACTAGGATTAGGGCTTTGAAAAAACCTTTTTTTTTGGCCTCATCCCATAGATAAACGAGCCAAGCTTCATTATTCGCCATAGTCTCTCTGATTCTTTCGAAGTGTTTGAGACCATGGCTTCTTCAATGGCTTCTGTTCTTTTACAGTCCTCAAGCTTATGTAATTCTCTTACAAAGACCATTTATAGAGGAAATTATGGGTTTATTACCAGAAATAGAAGGTACCCATTTAGTCTTATTCCTAAAGCTTTGGCCTTTCAAAACAATGGCCTTTGTAGAAGCTTCAGGGATGTTAAAGGCACAAGGAAATCACTGGTTTTAGGAAGAGGGGAACTTCTGATAAGATTTTACAGTTCTAAAGGTTCCCCTGGGATGAATGATCCAGAAAAGGTGAGGATTCTGTTGAAATTGAAGCCGGTGACTAAAATTGGGGAGTTTTGTTTTACTATTTTTTGTAAGATGTGATCTCTCTCTCTCTCTCTCTCTCTCTCTCTCTTACATTGCCAAGTGACAGGTTGTTTTCACTAGATATTATACGAGATTTCATTCTCAGTAATTTATCGCGAATTTATCAGTCAGTTTATTAACAACAATTTTTTTTTCTTGGAAATGAGCAGATTGTGGTTAAAAAGTACCTACACTATATTTTTGGAATTACATAAAAGAAGATTTGAAAGTGTTAAATATCCATTAATGTCAAGTCGTATAGAGCACATAAAACACAAATGCTCATGCTCCATACTGTCAGGACATGAGGTATGATAAGTAAAATATAGCATATGATTGTTTTTAGATTGTGACCACTTAGTACAATGTTGCTTTATGATGTGTTTCTTTGTTTTTAAAAAATTTATTGCACTAAGGTTATTCTATTTGACCTTCAAAAACTTAATTGTAGTGTTAAAATTATGTTTTCTAATTACAGAGCTACAAAACTATTGTTGTTCATAAAGCATTAGAATATCTAAATTATGTATTTGGTTGTATTTTTTTTAGGATTCAGGAGTAGGTTGGCCGATTCTTCGGAGATGGGATGTTCCATGGAAATGGCAAACTGTGTTTCTCACCATGTTTGCATGTGCAATAAGGTGACCAATAATTTCAAGATTTCTAATATACAAATTGGGTTCTCAGTTATTTCTTTTCTATTCATAACCATATGATTCATAACTAATGAATTTGCTTGAATAGTTCAATTGGACAAGCTTTGAGCATAAAATATGGATTCGCAGAGTGAAACTGAGGGTGGGCACTCAGCTTTGTTTTGACAGGATTGGTGGAGACAGCAGTTGTACCATATCTAGGGTTCAAACTAGAGGACTTGAGTTTAGATGACAAGGCTGAACTCCTCTTTGTGGACCAGTTGTAAGAATAACTTCTCCTCTTCTTCTTCTTATTATCATTATTATTCTTATTCTTATTATTATTCTTATTATTATTATTATTATTATTATTATTATTATTATTATTATTATTATTCTTATTTAGGTTACCATGTTTGCTTCTCCTTTTAGGTGAAATTCTTTGTTTACTTGATAGTTTACAGGTCTATTCCTTTCTCAGAACACAAACAATCTTGACCCATTTACCTTTTGCAGCATTGTAACTGCTGTTATACTTGGAGTTGTTTATGGTTTCACTGGCATTTTCAAACCACTTCCAGATGACATTTTCTGCTACAGTAAGTAGTTGGTACTTAGAAGCCATATCATTTGATTATTCGAGTTTATCGAGTCTTAAAATTACAGATTTTGGGATGGTTTTGTAGGTGGGATCAAACCCCAATTTAAAATTCTGGACTTGATTCAGCTAAATAGAAATGAATTGGGGCTTTTTACTTGCATATTTTGGCAAAGGTGGTATTTTTTATATGGAAAACAGAAATATAGACCATCTTTGTCATTTTTGCCATTAAAAAGTCTAGAAAACTTGATTTTGGCCAATTATGATCTTTATACCTGTGTTAGCTCCTGGAAAGTTCCAAAATTATGGCGGCTTTGAAGTTTCCATCTTCGTAGTGCCATTTTTTGTAACATAAAGTAGAATATTTCTTTCAGAGGTCCTTTTTGGAACTATCTGTGTCTTGTTGAATTTTCTTCATTTGTCAAGAAAATTGACTCTCTCTTTTTTGTTGTCAAAGAATTGAAGGATCCATTCAATCTACAGAATGGGTGGCTTCTATGGGCAGGGGTTGGCCTTGTTGGTGCGACTCTTGCAATAACTTTGACAGGAGCTATCCAAGCCTTATTAAATGGCGAGAACCCACAAAGAGAGGTTGGATCAATTGTTTTTTAGTTCGATATTCTTCAATTCTAGCAGTTTCTGTATCATGGGTTTGTTACTTTTTGTATGGTTCAATGAAGTTTTATTGTGATGTAATTGGAACCAAAATGAGGTTTACCAATTGGTAGATATTCTTTTGTTGGTCGAGAAATTATTGCTTAGTTATCAGTTAATAAGAATATTCTACTGATTAGCAGAGAAAGCCTTGTTATAATATGAAATTAGAAACCTGCTTGTCAAAGTAACTTACTCAGGCAGTTATACAAAGCCCGTAACGAATCTGGGGTTGGATGTGTCCTTACTTTATTTAAGTTGCTGAAGTTTCCTCCGACTTTATACTGTGGTCTGGGGGGCTAAATGTTTGTTTAATTGCATGCTCTAAAACATCGAGTTGTAAGTTGTGACTCTTTCAAATCAACTAAGATGGGACTGAATTTTGGATGGAATTGAATTCCATGGACGCCCAGTTTGAATCATTCTTTTAGACTGACATATTTGCCTGAAAACTTCTTTTCAAAAATATATTCTTATATATTTTACTGCAGTTCGATTCACCAGTTGAAATGCATTGTGATTGATGGTATTCAGTTTGAAGTTTATTTCAGACTGATGCATTGGTTCGCTTGCTACCCTTAATTGGCAGTTCAAGTATCAGGTAACTATACAGTTCTGAGGCTTTTTACTGGTCCTTGACTTCTTATCATTTTGTTTCAAGGATTCACTTATGGAGCTCTATCATGAGAAGGAACACATTTATTTTCTTTTATTTTCTATTTTGAAGCACTGCCTGTCTGGTGGGCATAACTGGGGTTCTTGCGCCAGTTCTTGAGGAAACTGTATTTCGAGGGTTTCTGATGGTCTCACTAACAAAGTGGTAATGTCAACTTCTATTGTGGAGAATTTTATGGGCTCTTTTGTTGTGCAGTAATGTATCTTGTGAAGTGATGTTGTGTTGCTTCTTATGCTCAGTGTGTTACATACGTGATAACAATCACTAAATCACATGAACTTTGCCACAAATCAAGATACTTGTTTCTTTTTTTTTTGGTTAATAACAATCAAAGTTAGTTGTAATTTTCGAAGTTATTACCCATTTTATTTATTTTTAAAGTAATTACCCAGTTAGTGTTAGTTATTTTTGGCTTTTATTCTGTAGGGTTCCGACACCAGTTGCTGTGCTTCTGAGTGCGGCAGTTTTCGCCATTGCCCATCTTACTCCCGGGGAATTTCCCCAGCTTTTTATACTTGGTAGGGTCTTTGTGTGTGTGTGTGAAAGAGAGAGCACTCTGAATCAATTTGTTCTTGTTTTATGGTTACAATTGGTCTTTTTCCTTGAGTATGACAGGAGCTGCTTTGGGGTTGGCTTACGCTCAGACTCACAATCTTCTTACTCCAATAACAATACATGCTTTCTGGAACTCAGGGGTGATCGTTCTGTTAACTTTCCTCCAGGTGATAAGTTGCTCGTCCACCTCAGTTTTGAGAGAGAGAAGCGAATACTCTCGAGTCTTTTCAAAAGAATGAAAGACTTGTATTTTATTAGCTCTGATCTTCTTTGTTTTGTGGTGTTTCTTCTTAGAAGCAGCATCTCTGTGTTCTCACTCATTAAACTCATTTTCGAGATTCAACGTGAAAGGGTCTTACATTTAAATGGCTTTTGCAGGTTCAAGGATATGATATACGTGAGCTAATACAGGGATCCTAACCATTTATGGTCGGTGAATATCCTTGTTCACAGAAGAGTTCAATGCATAAGCCTGTCTGCTCAGTCGAGACTGTGATTTGTGTAAACAATTTTTGTTCTTTTTCTCAATGGTCTCTGAGCAGGGTTTTTATGGCCTCACATAGTTAGGCAGAAGTTTCATTGTATTATTGTCTAGTGCTAAATGAGATCCAGAGGGATGCATTAAGCAAGATTGTAAATGGTTATATTGTTAATTAGAAAATTAAGTTTTGCTAGGCAGATGGTAGTTTTAATAGATAACTAATAAATATGGTCCCCGTTCTCTTTTGTGAATGTTAATTAATTAAATTTTCATTAGATAAAAGAGCAAAGCTCCAAAAGTACGACAGTAAAAGGAGGGGAAGAAGTAGAAGAATACAAGTAGTATTCCCTACTTCCAGAGAAGATTCATATTGACTTCCAAACACTGCAAAAGCCCTGACCTCGAAGGATCCTATGCCATTAACTGTCAAAGACCCCATGTAAACTACACAAAGCAGACATCTAGCTCAAGCTTCTCATAAAGACACTCTACATTGTATTAATAGGTGTGAATATAAGCACTGCATATGCCTTCAAATTTCATTTCATACTTAGTTGGAAAGGGTCCTAAACTTTGCTAGAAATAACAAGAAAGAGCTTTCTTCTTCTTCAAGAAAAAAAAAGCTCAAATAGGATTGTGCATATACTATCTTAGTAGCATGCGCAATGACCTAATTATCTATAATTCCAAAGCAAGTGTGCAGGTTAGAGAACTGAGCATAAGATAGATGCTGAGTTTTTATTACCGTTTGAAAGCTTCTTTATACTAACCATGTTCTTCGGCCGAATTGGTTGAAGTCTTTGATCTTAGGTACAAAAACTGAAGCAACACGGATCATCCCCATTAATTTGAATAATCATTGGAAACTTCAACATATATCTCTAACGCAAAAAAGATTTCATGTTCCTGGGGGAGGATCTTGTCTATTTACTCCCTGGAGTAGATTCTAATTTAGGAGCATTTTTAGAACCCAAAATTTAAGATGCAACTTCTTCAACTCGTATACGGAAACTCAATAAGTTTTTTTTTGCAATTCATATTCTCTATGGGCTTCAAGAAAATAATGCCTCAAGATGGAATAGAAACCATGTAATTTTTCAAGGGTGAGCTAAGTGTCAAGAAACTCAAAATTTATTATTGTTTTTTTCTTTTGAATGTGATTGTCTAGTGATTTTAGGTGGTCCCTAAAATTATGGATAAAAAAAAATCTTCTAAAAGAAGTCTTTTGCCCGATGGATAGGGGTGGCAATGGACCCAGACACGGCCCATACCCACCAGGTATCCCCAATAGGTCCTGGTATAGGTCCAAGTTTTGGACCCAAGGGTAGAGTCCGGGTCCAATAAAAGATATCCAAATAGTCTCAAGTAGGATACTGTTATACCCGACCCAATAGGTACCCAGACCCGAATTTTTAGTTTACCCAAAGGCCAAAGCTCCAACTCTAAAATCGTTTCAATACCCGTAGTTCCCCAAACCGCAAAACCTCATCACCATCCTCCCTCTGCAATTCTCACTCTCAATTTCTTGGAGACATAGCTCTCTCTCTCGATCTCAAATGCCTCTCTCTAATCGCCCACCCCTCAAAAATTAGTTCTTTCTTGTTCACCATTGTAGACTACAAAAAAGGAAGCTCATAGTGAGGGTGGCAATGGACCTGATGGGTTGGATTTGGGTCCAAAACCTGAACTCGAATATGTTCAAGTCTGAATCCAGGTCCAGCCGGACCCGACCCATTGCCACCCCTACTGAGGGAGTATACTCTTGTGGGAGCATGGCATACGTGCTCAGACTTAAATGTTCACAATGTATTGAAAAGTTCAAAAAATCCCTTTTATATAATACAATTTCAGTAAAACGCCTCTATAATGTTCAAAATCTAAGAAATTTTACTTTATATATTAAAACTTTGTGAAAGTTGCCTCGATACACATTGTTATTTTTTTATTTTAATTTTCAAGAGTCCACCCAAATACTGCCCCTGATCTGCTGAAGGGCAGACGCACTTTCCTTTCCTAGCCAAACAAGACTCCATGATTGTCCACCCAAGCAGGAAACAAAGGGAAATCCCTCTCTCTCACTCTAAAAATGTGCTCAAATGCTTATCAAGGTAGCAGACCGAGAATGGCAATGAAGCCTCTAACCAACCCAACTCCAATGAACACAATTGGGCTTGAGGAGGCCCCAACCAAGGTGTAAAATAGAGGAACTGCTACAAACCTTGCAATCCAACAACTTGATATCCAATACATGCAACTAAAGCGTAAATAAAACCTTGTCCTCAATACCAAAGAAGGTATTAAGAAATCAAATGAGTTTTTGCATTTTCATCCCATCAAACAATTAAAGTAACACAAAATCAACTACAACATACCCAAACTCAATTAGACAATATATCACAAGAAATATCCTATTTGAGCTTCATAGAAGCCTCAATGGGTATTAGCCATTATAAAGGACTTGAGCTTCATAGATTACTCAATGAATTTAAAAGGGAATTACAAGCATTGCAAAGTTCTTATCTCTCTCTCTCTCTCTCACACACACACACACACAATGCATTAGCACCAGTAATATTATATACTTTATAAAGCATGGTTTCAGACTTTCAATCATGCAAAGGCACAACTGTTGCATCTACCTAAACAATCGGTGGCTCGTTTTTTAATGATTATAAAGGGTACATTCAGTTGCAATTTGCGAAATTAGGAGCATGAAGGAAATGCTGAGGAAGCATCGCAGAGGCCCACAAAATCTCTATGAACAAATAGAACATCACATGAAACACCTCCATAAGCCAAGATGTCTGCATCGGCATATGCCTCCCATCATACATGAGAAGTGGACAATTGCTGAGACGAAGTTCCCTCTTCAATTTCTGCAAATATCATCCCCAAACGCCATCATGCAGTGCGTTCTGGATGCCCACCTTATGACATTGAGGCTGCATATTCAATAATACAAGGACCCTCTACTTCATGGACACAAACCTTCAAGCCTACCAGGAAGAACTTCACCTCTGCAGAGGATGAGTCACAACTTGGACTGTTTGGGACTCACCAGGTTCCCAAGCGTGAATCAGACTGGACCAAGTCTACGTGAATTACATAGAAGAGATCATGACCTGGTGAGACTTAGGTGGGTTGCAAAGTTTCTAATCCAGACTCGGTACCCTGCTGGGTCCCAGTGACTGGATGAGACCAAGCCAAGCACCCCGACTTCCATGTCAATTACTGTTTCCCAGTATACTCCTCCTACAGGGTTGCCTTTAGAGCTCCTATCAAAATTAAGTCTTAATCATCGCACTTGGGGTGAGGTTTTTGTGGGTTGGTTGGGGGGGAGGGGAGGGGAGAGGAGGGGGAGGGAGGGGGGGGGTGTACTTTGGGCTTGACTTCAAGGAGGCCACTATGGAGAAGGCTGCTGACCTCCAATCTCCTAAAAAATCCGCCACCTAATAACATCCTCAAAGCTTATCTACTAAGTGCCTAGATAAATCGCATTATTACAAAACCCCTGCTTTGGAATGGTCCCTCCAATTGTCTATACCCTCTAAAGACGTGCGTCTTTCACTTATGCCATATCCCCCACAAAACTGTCACAGTGCAAGACTGCTATTATAATATGGCCGTCATAGGAAGAATAGGGAAGGAGGATATCAAAGCTGCAACATGTTCAGAAGTCGCCCAAACCTAACCAAATAATTCTAAAAAGATTGAAAACACTGTCATCACAAAGGAACAAGGAATGAGTAGAAAACCTAGAGACTAACCTCATGACACATTATTATATACATATAGGGGATGGGCAAGCCCCCGATTCTGAAGGTGGTCTAATGCTAGATTACCATCTCTAAATGTCAACAATCCAAATGCAACAACTCTCATTGGTGCCATCCAACGGCAGCATCTGATTATCAGCAAAATTTATTGATCATGCCTTGTTTATTACAATTTCTAGTTGTGACTTGGTCCCATACAAGTAAGGTGGTGTCATAGCATACAAGGTTATACACTATATGCTTATTGTAGATGTGAAATGATCCCATACCAGTTCTGGATATTCTTCTGATACTTACAAAATATAACATGGTATCAAGAAAAAAATATAGCACAAGATGTCTAAAAACGATGTGGAGTTCAAGTATAAACCTAAAACATATAAATATGACATCTAAAACATAATTTATTATAAGGAAAATAAAGGATTTATATTTTACACTATATCCTCTCAAGGGCTTTCTAGAGAACCTACATTTTTGGTACCTCCCCCAAAACCTGGGTAGGACATTGATGCAAACAGCAAATTATACTATGTACCATAATTTACACCATATACAATAAACAATCATCATCGTCAAGGCCTTTTTCCCAACTAATTGGGGTCGGCTTTATATAATAAAAAATGTATGCATAATTTGCATACAGTGTTCCAAAAAATGCCGGGAGGCACTTAGGTGGGGGGATACCCCCATTTTTATCATTTCCACAATAATTACACCTAAAACGATTTTTTTCATTCGGATTTGGGTTGTGACCATACTTCTAACCTAGATCACCACTTTTAGAAGAACTTGGAGAAGATATTTCCATAAAACAAGGTTCATTTTCTTCCTTTTTTGGTTCTACCAAATTCAAATATTTCTAATCTCGTCCCTAAGAGCTTCAGGAACCATTTTACAAGAAGCAACATTCCTTTTAAAACCGGCTAGGTGTTTCTTGAATCGGTTAATACTCCCATTGGTATTTTTTTCACAAAAATTACACCTTAGACAATTTTTACTGTTTGGTTTTGGGTTATAACCATACTTCCAACCTAGATCACCTCTTTCAGCAGAACTAGAGATAGACTTATCCAAATGACAAGGATTTTGTTCCTGTTTGTGTTTTACTGAACTCATATATTGCTTAATTTCCTCTCTGATAGCTTCAGAAACATTTTTATAAGGGGCAATATTCCCCCTAATAATGGCAAGATGTTTCTTAAACCGGTTTATGCCCACTTTTGTATCTTTTTCATTTATCCAAAGGATTCGGGTTATAGCCATATTTCCAATCTGGATCACCACTTCGACTAGATCCTGAAGAAGACATCCTCAAAATAATACAAGCACTCTAAAAAATAAAATTATGCACTTTGATTGCTCGATCTCCAAACTTCCACTTCTTAGATGCTTTCTTGTGCTAAAATCTTCAAAAAAGGATTAAAAAAACTCCTAAACTAAATCCTAT